GCGCACGCGCAAACAAAGCAAGCCCAATACCACTGCCAGCGGCGACCAATTGGATAGAAGCGCTTCTCCTTGGGTAGATGGAGTCTGCCGTGCTTGGCCAGGGCAGTGAGCGTGAGCATGAGTCCAACGGCATACACGGCCGCGAAGCCAATTCCCACGTAGCCCCGAGCACCAATTGGATCCACGGCACTGTAGCACTTGGTGGCGTTGATAAAGGTTCCATTGCTGATGAGAAGCTGGGGCTCGTACGGCTCGTACGTCAGATAACAGCGGGAGTTGTTGGACAGGGTGCCATTGCTGTAGTAGGTGTAGTTCCAGTGCTCGAGGGTGGTGAGGTTGAAGTGGACGCCTCCAAAGACGGTGTCTGTGCTGTTGTCACCTCCGGGGAAGGACAGCAAGTCCCGGGCATCAAAGATCTCGTACCGGACCATGCTGAATATATGGTTGCGGGCCTCGCGCCGCCGAGTTTTCTAGAGAACCTGCTTCCTCGACGACGAATTGTTGTTGCCTCCTCCAATCACGGACAATGATCTCGAGGGAGAATTCAGGTCAGCGACGCCCGTCGCACTCTGGGACAGAATCAACAGCAGAGCATAAGAGAATACTCGTAAGAATAACAGAAAAAAGGGGGTTGGGTTAGAACAATGGAGAAGGGAAGAAAGCAAGAAGCTTAATGCGAATTAGAGTAGAGCAATTGGGGCGTGGCGGGTTTGGCTACAAGGGCCGCTGGGGGACGATTGCCGGCGGTGCCGCAGCCGGGCTCGCTGAAAAGTGAAAAGCCGCGCACACCGTTACAGTTGTTTCGTTATAACGATATTCGCCATTGGATGGGATGCGAGAAAAAAAAAACGATCGCGGTGTTTTCCGTGGTCAGCAGGTAGGTAATATGATATCATTGGTGATGGATGTGCACACTGAAAATGGTATTGGGATTGAAGCTGATGATAGTTGAAAATTGAATAATTCTAGATAAAAAGGCATCTCATTGTAATCAAGTGTTGTATCTCTTATATGCCAGCCCTTCACGCGTCATCGCCGTTGTCAATGTCATGATCGATTTAAAGTGCGTTTTAGCGCCAATGTTTAAAAGCATACGCCCTTCAGTAGCCCAGATCTCCGATGACTTTGACAACTCCATCTCCAAATTACAAAAAAGAAGCATCTACTACTCGTATCCAACTACACACAGCTTCTCAAGTTCCTCCGTCTGACCTACAAAAACAGGTACTCCATATATACTGCGACATTCCAGATACAACACCCACCTACAGACACACACACCGTATTATTCAATTCAATTCACGCACAAGCGGTTAAGCTGTACAGTAGCTCGCTAGTTCGTCCCGCTTTATCTGACAAATGGAGTCCAACCCCATGATTCGATGCCAATGCGAAGCCATTTCCTTTCGGGCCGTGCTCCCCAAGCCGCTCGCAGTCGATGTATGCCACTGTCTCGAGTGCCAGAGACAGTCATCGTCGGCCTTTGGCGTCTCTGCCGTCTTCCCCGTTGAGGGCATGCTTCCATTCCCTGAGAGCATTCGGCCTCAGGTCGGCATGTGGACGCGCAAGACCGACTCGGGATGCACACTGGAGTGCTATTTCTGTAAGACGTGCGGTGTCCGGGTCATCCACCGAGGCCTGCTGCCAGACGGGACTTCACGGCCGACGCTGACGGTCAAGGGAGGGTGTATGGAAAACCTGAGCCTCAAGGATGCAAGGCACATCTACACAAGATCGGCCAGGATACCGGTGCCGGAGGGGAGCTGGCCCGGGCCGCCAGATGAATACTGATGGGCAAAGGAATAGATATCACTTGGCATGGCATTGGCATTGGCGTTGGCATTGGATCTTGAAAGGACACAGAGGGTTAATGGGAGGGCAGTGAGAGATGGGGAAGATGGACTCGAAGACACAGAAGCGTCGTTTTCCAAGCATGATTCTAAGAGGCTGAATCTTTGATACAGTATTATTCGTCATTTACATTTACTTTTCCTTTTCATGTTGTACAACATGGCGGCCATTGCCCGAATCTATATGCATGGGTACCTATCCTGTGCTCGGTTGAACCGAATCGCCAAGTCCCTCGAAGCATGTCAAGTGAGCAATGGAACCTACCTTACTCTAGATACCTGCCAAACACCCCCTCCACACATTGCTTTCAAAAAAAAAATCATCGTCCTATGTTGTTCAGCACGCTTCCCATCATAACGGCTATTTCTCGATCCCAGCTCGTCTCGACACTGGGCTTCTTCTTGCTGCTGGAAAAGACGTCTGGCGTCTGCCCCCCTTTAACAACTGCCTGCCGAATGGCATCCCCAACAACGTTCTTATTCGTCCGCAGGGTGCGAGCCACTATACCTCCTCGACTGGCTATCTCTTGAACGCGAGTGGAAATGTTACTCGCCATGGTGCGCCAAAAGTAGGAAACCAAAGAGCTCGTTTCGAAGCGAGACAGCAGCAGCTGGATGAGGCTGTGCTGTTTCTTCTTCGCGGGAGCTGGGAAGAAGGGGTGGGCTGGAGTCTCGGTAGCCTCGAGGATCAGCTCAAGAGAGGCAATGTTCTGGCAATGGGCCACGACTTCGACGAGAGATTTGTCCAGCGTGGGGAGCTGCCCCAGAGATCGCGAGAGCGATGCGGTGCTTCCCTGTAGCGCAGAACGAACATAGGTATCGAGGGCTTGCAAAAGCAGTTTTGGTGACCACTTGTCGGGCTGAATACCCATGGAGGGGGACAGCAGATATAGCGTAGTCATGGCGGATGTCAGCCGTGATCGTGCCTCCTCGCTTTGCGCAAAAGTGATGCTGCTCGGGATGGCGAATTCCCTAACCAGGCGCTCAGACACCTCTGTTATGCGTCGCTCTATTGGTACAATGACAGTGTCCTGCAGATTCTTGATTGCATTTAGCTTGTCGAGTCCATGGCCCTCCTCTCCTGGTGCCCTGCTGTCCAGCACTTCACGCAGCGAAAGGATCGTGTACGAGCATCGAACAAGCGCTCCATAGTCGGTTTTCCCCGTGCTGGGGCCGCCCAATTCGGAGAACTGGACCTGCAGCTGTCTCCCAAGCTGCAAACATCTTCCCATTGCCCTCCCCAGCCTCAGCGTCTCCCACAGGCGCAATGCGACCTGCCGTATCTCCTCCGCCTCTGCATGTTTATCAATGACCTCCTTCTCCAGCTGCTTGTAGCTGTCGTTTAGGCTTGCGATCTGAGCATCGAGCTGGGCAACAATGGCCTTGCTCGCCTGCGTCTGCGATTGGGTATACTGCAGCAAGGGCACGGCGGAGCGGGTTGTGAGGAGGTCAATGTGCGAGTCGATCTCTTGAGCGTCAAAGAGGACCCGTGACAAGGGTGTTGCGAGATCTAGCGGGGAGTCGTCGGGGTTGTTGGTGGCGAGGACGAGGGAGTTGGCAAAGGAAGCGGGTGCGAAGTCGGGCGAGAGGAACGTCTCGTAGTCGATGTACGAGGGCTCTTCAATGGCCTGGGCATCTGGCAGCGTCGTCGCCATAATTGATTGGTGCCAGTAGCCAGGCTGGACAGGAAGTTGTCGCAATGTCGTTTGGAGTGCCTCGTCTCGCCAGATTGGAGGGGCCAGCTCAAAGCTCCAGGGGAAAGGTGGCGCTTTGGGACCGCTGTGGCATTGATTGGGCGCATGTGATTTCACGGCACAGCAGCCACACTAGCGACATACAGGGGCATTTACCTTGATCTCAGAAACCCAGATTGGAAGATCAGGACATGTGCATGGATTGACTTGTCACATACTGCAGTGTAGGGTATCGCCATGCCCATAATAGACCAAACCCATATCTTCAGGCTCCATATCGAGCCAAATGTCTAGAAACCGACCTCGGCTCAGCGGAGTCTTCGGAGTACAGACAGTATAAACTGAAAGACAGAGCGGCACAAGGGAGTGGCATGGGGTAGTATTCGTGATGCCATCAGTCCAAGCCAAGGCACAGACGGTGGCGCATTCTCCCGCTGGTTTCGTTTCTTCTCCTTATCTGGCTTGGCACTGGTTCAACGATATTGCGTCCATGCCATGATTTCCAGGCATTAGTGTGAGTTGTTGGAGATGACAGTAATTTGATGAATACCCCGTCCAGGCTTTGAAAGGGAGAGGAAGCCAGCAAGCTGTTGGCCTTGTAAGGAAACCAACAATACAGGCGGATCCAGGTTCATGCATCTTGACAACTACCTCATAGCACTCGAGATGCCTCATATCAACAAACACCTGCTCTGAGGATATAAATCAGAAGCTATCGATGTTTGATATCTTACATGCCCCCCCTAAAACAAAACAGCCACTATTAGCTACGAAACCCGCCGTCTAAGCCCGCTGCAGGTCAGCAGGCGCGTGAGGATTTGCATGCCATGCATCAGACCTCCAGAGGCGCATCGCCACACTCTATTAGCCTGGGAGTTAATTATAGCTCACTGTTCCAAACAAGAGAGTCCGTGTTAAACACCTCAGCCTCGATATCAACGGCGCGGTTCCTGACGGGAGCTTCTATTTTTCTTCTTCTCTCTCTCTCTCTCTTCATCCCCCCCCCCAATCCCGACCGCCGTTTTGCTTCGTGGCCACGCAACCCCTTGTGCGACAAAGAAGAGGGAAGCAGGAGGAAAAGAGACGAAGCGAAGAAAAATCCGGCCTTTCGCTTGGCCCTTTTCCGCTCTAGCCTGTGCACCGCCTCAAGACGTGCCGCCGTACATAATTCCAGGCTTCCCGCGCGCATTACCGAGTACAGGTCTGGCCTGGCTGGCATTGATCTTATACTGCTTTTGCTTTGATTTGATTATTATACCCGAATCCGCACCAGGGTTCGAGGCCCGAATCCCGCCATTCGCACTCGCTGCACCGCTGGCACCGCTGCAGAAGTGCAGACGCCCACCGATCCTCTAGAAGCAGCATCCCGTCCGTCCATACACGTACTACTACCTACCTAAGGTATAGACGGCGAGGCTCTGTGTATCGTATCGTCTCATATCCCCCCTCCGAAGCCATGGCCTCCAAACTCGGTGCCACCTTCGTGCCTGGCAGCGACGATGACTATTTTATGCCAGAAGTTGTTGCGCCGTCGCCTCAGCGGTAAGCCATATTCATATTCATATCCACATCCACCCCGATGGTTTCCTTTTATCCCACTCCCAGATCCCTGTCTCTAAGCCTCCTTGTCCTTTTTTTTTCTCCATGTCCCTCCTTTCTCCCATTTCGCCTGGATGAGGCTGGACCTTGTCAGAGGCTGAATGGAGCCCTTAAGCCATTCGAGGTGGGGCTGCTGCTGACGTTCTCGTCTTGATCCTTTCGATTAGGGTGACCCCTCAGGTGCCGCAGAACATGCAGGAGGACCTGCAGCGCATGGAACTGGAAGCCCGTGAAGTCCACGACTACAATAGAAGCCGCGAGCCCTCGCTGTCGACCTACACCGGCCAGAAGCCCGATCCCAGAGGCTACGGTCACAGTCCCAGCCAGAGCCAGAGCCAGAGCTACAGCCAGACGCGGACAACACGGCTGCCCGACATGGACGAAGACGCCCCTTCATTCTCGCCCTTCCCCAAGGTCGTGGGGGACAACGTGCCGCCGGCCGACGACGAGAAGGAGAACATCCTGTGGAAGGCGCGCAACCATGTGCTGCACTCGCAGAATGTCAACATGCAAATCACTTGGGCCCGCGATGTGCTCAACTGGGCCGAAATCTCCTTGGACGCCGCCGCCAGAGAGGCGGCCGAGAGCGGTAATCGCCCCCCCACCCCACGAAAGGAGCACGAGCTGCGCAACGACGCAGTCAACATCATCAGATACCTGGCCGAGCAGGAACACCCAGATGCCCTGTACATCCGCGCCAAATGGCTCGAGTTCGGCAAGTTCGGCGAACGCGTCGACAAGCGCGAGGCCTACTCGGGGTACAAGAAGGCGAGCGACTTGGGCAGCACGCGGTCCGTCTACCGCATGGGCATGCTGTTTGAGCAGTCCAACGACATGTCCAAGGCCAAGGAATACTACTACAAGGGCCTCAGCCTGAAGGACTCGGCCGCCCTGTACCGCATGGGCATGATGAGCCTCCTGGGCCAGCACGGCGAGACCAAGGACTACCAAGGAGGCCTGGAGCGCATCCGAGCCGCCGCCGACAGTGCGGATGAGGACGCTCCTCAGGGTGCGTACGTCTACGGCATGCTCATCGGACGCGACCTGCCCGACATCAGCATACCCGAAGGCATCTTGCCCTATGCTATTGAAACGTCCAAGGTCTATGTCGAAAAGGCGGCCTATCTTGGCTTTGCCAAGGCTCAGCTCAAAATGGGCCAGGCGTACGAGCTGTGCCAGCTGGGATGTGACTTTAATCCCTCCTACTCCCTACACTACTACGGCTTGGCCGCCAAGCAAGGAATCCCAGAAGCTGCCCTTGGCGTCAGTCGATGGTTCCTCTTTGGCTACGAGGGTGTCTTCAAGAAGAACGAAGAGCTGGCTTTCAAGTATGCTCACGAGGCAGCATCCGCGAAGCTACCCACTGGCGAGTTTGCCATGGGCTACTACCACGAAATCGGCATCCACGTTAACAAGGACGTTGTTGAGGCCCAGCGGTGGTACCAGCTGGCGGCTGACCACGGCAACAAGGACGCCGTCGGCAGATTAGAGTCGCTTAGCCAGGGTGGTGGCCTCTCCAAGCAGGATCACGAAACAACCACCCTGGGACGAATCAAGTCTCAGCACGGCTCTATGAGAGGCAAGCGCCCCGATCGATTCGCCAAGCAAAACAATCCAATGCCCACGCTCAGTGAAGGCGATGGTCCAGCCCCACTGCCCAAACTCGTTACATCAGTTGGCAACTCGCGAGTCTCACCTCTACCCTCGCCGGGCATGCGTCCTACAATCGTGACGGAGAACAACAGCTTCGCTGAGCCATCCAGGGCCTCTTTCGTCGATACGGCTGATCGACAGCCGGCATTTAACATCCGTGTCGATCCAAACGCCCCACCCATGCGTTCTCAGTCCGCCGCGCCTTATCCCGTAGACGATCGGATGCAGCCGCCGAGGAACGCGCCCTATCCAGACGACGATGGCCGGCCTCGCCTCAACAATAATTATCCCCCGAACCAGGGTCCTTCAGCGGACCGGCCAGGCAGTGCCTTTGGTGTCAGGCCACAAGGAAATGGTCCACCACGGCCGATGCCGGGCTCACAGTCAGCCGGCAACATGTATCCGCCTGGTGGGCCGGGCGGCGGCCGTGGCAGAGGCGGACCGCCCGATGGTCACGGACCCGGACCCGGAGGCTACGGACCGCCAGGAGGCGGACCTGGCGGACCTGGCCAAGGACGCCCATACCCAGGAGACAGCCGACCTGGAAGCGCCCACAGCGGGAACCGCATGCAGAACAGACCACCCCAGGGATATGGTGGTCCCGGAGGCCCGGTGGGCGGCCCTCATGGAGGACCAGAGCCCGGGCAGTTCGCTCCTCGAACCTCATCACGACAGGATGGGCACCCCGATCAACAGTATCACCCCGGCGGTCCCGGTGGTCCCGGGGGCCCGGGTGGCCCAGGAGGCCCGGGTGGCCATTTCCCAGAAAGGTTGGGATCTCTCCCCGGCCAAGGTGGACCACCACCAGGAAGAGTCCAGACCGGAGGCCCCCCTCCCGGACATGGACCCGGACCCGGGCCTCAAGGTCCTGGAGGCAGACCCCCTCCAGGTCCCAACAGAGTTGGCACTGCTCCTCCGGGACCTGCTCCTCAGCACAGCTCAAGTCCTGCACCAGGCCCTGGCCCGGCTTCTCCTCCAGCCAAGGCCAAGCAATCAAGCAAGCAATCAGGCAAGCAAGGACCCGCAACGTTTGAAGACATGGGAATTCCGCAGGGTAAACAAGACGGCGATTGTGTAAGTAGACGCCCAATCCTGCCGTATATGAGATATATGAGGCATATGAAAGCAGCTAACATGAGGTCCACAGGTTGTCATGTAGAGAGTGTTCCATCTGCATGTCGTAGAGCATACATTTGCGTGTTTACTGAGGATAAAGGCAGAGCAGAGGGAAGCTAGACACTGGCATACAAAGTGTCGATACATGCATAACGCATACGCCTCCAGCACGCAACACATCAAACTTCATCTACAGAGCGCATCTATACCTGCCTGGTGAGCTGATTTTGAACTCTTTTGTTTTCTCAATCAAGTGAAGCAAATAAAATCTCAAAAACGACTTTCGAATTCGGCAAAGATAATAAACACAGGGAGAGGTCGGGAGGAGGGGAGGGAAAGTGACTGGTTGAAACGATTATTAAAAAGCCTACTTATTCATCGGCGCTGGGTTTATACAATGTATTCTTTTTTTCCCCCTTGTCTTGTTTTCAATACATGCAATAGTGATATACCGCAGGCGAAAGACGGGATCGGGATTTGTGTCTGGAACGCCGCCCTCTGTAAATGTATCCTTGAGCGTGATTTGTATATATATTTGGCTATTTTTGTATTTTTGGATCTTCTGAGTTATGTATGTATAACTGATCCCTTTGTCTTCTTTTCCCGCTGAGACATGTAGTTCGATGATATTGGTATGTCTCCCTCCTCCTCTCCTGCTCCTACATGTGACTTACACATGGTAGACATGCAGGGAAAGCTGAGGAAGCATACCTTGCAGTGCAGGGTGTTGCAGATGTTCTGTAGATACACAGCTGCTATACTAATTGTGCTACTGACTGTCGCAAACAACTCCATTATTTTGCCACGTTTTTTTTTTTGTCTGAAACAAGCAACAACCTAAGCCGTCGGTCACGATATATCCCTACCCTAACTAGTACAAGCACCCGCATGTGTGATAAAAAAAAAGCAAACTTCACATGCCACCTCCATTTCCCCCCAACCTTTCCCCAACCCTGTCACATCTCCTCTGGCCCGGCCATACCATATCAGCTTTCCTTTCGGGCTTAGGCCTCAAGCGCTGCATTATTCCCCATTTTGCTTGGCCGAGCCGGGTACCAAATCCGCACCAAGAAACCCCCCCCCCTCTCTCGTTTCCGCCAATCCCCACGATCGCTTTATCTGCCTGGATCAGGACATGGCTCGATACATACATTGTTGCAGCCCTGCTTGTGGGCTCGGATCCTACGATGCACGGCGATTGATAGCGGCAAGCCAGTCATAATCCCCGGCTGTTCGGGTGTGCTGCTACCGATGATCTCAGGGCTGTTACACCGGTTAGAACAAACATCTTGACAGCCCATGGCATTCGGCTGCTGGTCGTCTATCGTTACCGTGCTACTTCTTCTTCCCGCTTGGGCGAGGTTAGTTGGCCTACACTTGCCCTGCCCTGTCGCTTCATCTAACCTCTCTGCTCTCTTTCATTCATCTTTCCTCTCCCCCCTCTCCCCTCATTGATATCGTTATATTCGACGACGACTGACCAACTCAGCATTGCTATTTAAATTGCCAGAATTGCAGGCATCGCCATGAGGCTCTGCTCGCGTCTTCTGGCGGCAGGATGCTGCTCCGTGCTGGCCATCACGGGAGTCAACGCTTCGGCAAACGTCCGTTTCAAATGGGACGACGTCAAGGCCAGCGATGAACTCGAGTATCACGACTGCTATGGCGAATACAAGTGCGCTCGCCTGGAGGTGCCTCTTGACTGGGTCAACGAGACAGATACAAGAGTAGCCACCATTGCCATGATCAAGCTGCCTGCCGTCGTGCCAGACGACGATCCTGCCTTTGGCGGCGCCATCTTCACCAACCCCGGAGGACCTGGTGGCTCTGGTGTCGAATTTATGCTCAGGTTCGGCCATTATCTTCAGTACACGGTCGATAAACCGGGACGCCGCCATTACGAGATTGTCTCTTTCGACCCCCGTGGCGTTGGCAAAACGACTCCGGCTTCCGACTGCTTCAATGGAAACTTGCTGGCGCGAGACGCTTTCCTGCTGGAAAACCGCGGCAACGGCGCTCTCATTAAGGGCGACAGCACCATTGCGTACAGCCTTGCCATCATGGATGCTTTTGGCCAGCGCTGTCAGGAGGCTGAAGACGCCATGGCCTTTGTCGGAACGCCCAATGTCGCACGCGACATGGTCGAAATGGTTGACAGAATCGACGAGCTGCGCAAAAAGGAGGCCACTCAAAAACGTACAGGGTATGGAGCACCGGACACATACGACTCCGACATGGGGGGAGAGCTTAAGAGGCGATCTGCTCCCAAGAGGAAGTCGGCCGAGCTCCACGACGAACCTGGCGATGTTCCCCGTCTTCAGTACATTGGATTTTCATACGGCACCGTCCTTGGCAACTACTTTGCTTCCATGTTTCCCGGCCGTGTTGGCCGCTTGGTCCTGGACGGGGTTTGCAATATTGACGACTACACAACGGGCCCAGTACGTTTCTCGTACAGTACAGATGCTCTTGTCACCTTTGCTAACCGTTTTCTTTCCTTCTCAGGGCTGGCTTACAAATACTGTTGATGCAGATGAGATATTCGATCACTTCTTTGAGGGCTGTGCCGCTGCCGGTCCCGAAGTATGCGCCCTGGCTCGTGAGTCGGACGCCCACGGAGCATCCGACATACGCCGTCGGTTTGACGCTTTCCTATCAGAGTTGGATCACACACCCAGAGCTGTGCTGGCAGATTCGGGAGACGTCGTTATCGTCACTGGCTGGGACATTCGACTGCTGGCCGGCCTGATTCTTTATGCACCTTTGAAGCGGTTCAAGTGGCTTGCAGCGATATTTGACAAGTTCATATCCGGAGACCTGACAGACATCGCCATCTGGGCCGTGGGAACAGGCTTGGTGCCCCGCATGAAAGACGCATGCCCCCTAGGCGACGAGGCCTGGCCCATTGAGAGGACCGAGGCTCAGAACGCCGTCGTCTGCAATGATGGCGACGACGTTTCCCACAAGGACGTCGCCTTTTGGCACAAGTACGTGAAGAACCAGATGGACACTTCCAACATCCTTGGCGCCGAATGGTCTACAATCCGCATCCCATGCTCAAGCTGGCGTATCCGCCCCAACTGGCGGTTCAAAGGCCCCTTTACCACCCCCGATCCGGATCCCGCCCTCCGGCCGGGCACTCCCGCAGCCCCTATCCTCTTCCTCTCCAACCGACTGGACCCCGTCACGCCACTGCGAGCCGCCCAGGCCATGGCCGACCAACACCCCGGCGCCCGGGTCCTCATCCAGGAGGCCATGGGCCATTCCGCAGTGGCGTCTTCCCCCAGCCAATGCACCAGGAAAGTCGTGGCCGACTACTTCGAATCTGGCACCATCCCCTCGGATCTGCCACCGTGTGAGGCTGACTGCACCCCCTGGGACGAGTCATGCCCATTTTTGGGCGCAATGGGGCGCAAGAACAAAGATGCCGATGCCATGTCTACCTGGTTCAACCGAAACCAGCCCTTGCGGGACAGGAAATCCCCTCTTGGCTTGCTATAAGCACTCACTATAGACACTCGTTTTAGTGTTAGATAGCATCTGTATACATTATGGAAATGCCTATTCAGCACCCCGATCTTGCTATTCAGCATCCCGTGTCGCAAATAATACTAAGTACTAGACTCCAATACCGTCATAGTAGTTGATATCAACAATAGATAGGTAGCAACTACGGTAACACACATGCTACAGAAACGTAGCTATAGTAATAGATAGATACTAGAGATATGTAGTTATAGTAGCAGATGCTTAAAGAACCGGGCATTTATTACTCAAGTAAATGCTTGTAGTAGTAATAAGCGGCTTTCTTTCATATCCGGATTCAATGCTCAAATTCCACGCACGCTGACGTGCTGAATAGCTACTCCTTTCATTATCCACTACTCGTACGTCGTCGTTCCCTTGTAAAGAGTCGCGGATCCTTGCCTTTACAATTCAATATTTATAGCGAAATGATTACTCGCGTTTATGCCTGATTACCAAGAGCAGGTCTACATGGGCGTGATATGCTCATGGCTTCTCTCATTGTTTACGACTCGCCAAATTGTCACATCAACCCCCTAGAACCAGATTTGAAGTGAATCTCGTCAGAAATGTCCATTGATTTTGTCATAACAATGTGATTTACATGACCTAGCCCCCATCCCACTGCTGTTCGCCATTACATCTGATACTGCAGCTACAACCACATTATGCTGCTCGCCAAGAAATTTAGGTTCAAATTGTCCCCATCAACAAACAAACAAAGAGCAAATATAATCCCACCGCATTTCATCGCACCTAACTACCCTCCGAAATTATCAAATGATGGCTATTATACTGATTCCCAGATATATCCGTCATCCATTCGCTTCAGCCCACGCGGAGTCCAATGCCAGACTCCTTGGCGGGCGGCTGATTCGATAACTTCACGCTTGATGGGCTGAGGAAGAGCATTCGCGCGACAAGCCGCGGCATCACAACCATTGTCGTTCCAGCCGAATTTGAAGTCATCTCCCCACCAGACTCGTACTTCATTGCCGACACGTAAATTGATCAGAACCGACGTGATATTCGTGTAGCCATCAAACGACACAGGAGTCAACCGGCAGTTCCCATGAGGGAAGTTGGGGCATGCTGGAATATGCTTTGTCTCAGACCAGGCTATTGATTCCTCTCTTTGCGAAACGTCGTTGTAGCGGTATGCTGAAACTTCAAAGTCACACCAATTTTCGGCACCTTGTGCCGCGCAGCCAAGACTCGCGCCTTGGAAGTCAAATCTGAAGCAGTGGTTGGGAGCATTTGGACCAACACCAATCTCAGCAGTGTCTCCCACACTAGAATGAGCTGATAAAGGCAGGGATGGTGGCATGAATTCCACAAGCTGGCCGCCGGATGAAGGGCTGTAAGATTGAGAGGTTTGAGACGATGGGGGAGCGATGAGGAACCCTTGAGAGAACCAGATATCGCGAGAAGGGTTGAAGAGTGGACCGGCCTTGGTATCATCAAACTATTCAAATTAGCAATGGGTATGACAAGAGGGTGAGAGGTATATGGTGTACTTACGTCCAGTGTAAAATTGCCAATCTTTCCACCAGTAGGACACATGGGGGTAAAATCTGATCCATCCACAGCAGAAGCTTGCGGTGGCACGGAATCTGTTGCAGAAGGAATAACGGGAGTAAAGGGGCTCGGGGTACTAAAGGCCGGGAAGGAGAGCACAGAACTAGAGTTGTCCCATGCAAACTCTGACGTTACTGACCTATGCTAGGTTAGAGATTGCATATAGGTAGACAATTAGTGACTTACTCTTGCTGACGTCGCATGACACGTCGATTGGGAAGGGTGACAGTCGCCAGGGTGGTAAGAGGGAAGTTGATCGTGTAGGTGGTAGTTTGCTCTGGTATGACGTTGGTCCACGTGCTAGTTTGGAGAGCCGTTGCAAGATGCGATGGGCCAGTTGGAAGCGAGCCATAGGCATTCTATGACAGCGGCGAAGATTCCAACACTGGAGCTTGATTGTTCCACTCGTCGCTGTACGGGACAAGAGTGGCAGGCCGTCCATCAGGACCATTGGTGACAGTAAAAGTCGAAGTGCGGGTACCAGTAACAGTCCCGGTTGGTTCCACAAGGCCAGAAACCACTGCAGATGGCGGCAAAACAACTGGCAGACCGGTTCCCAAAGATCCGTATTGAGTGAGGGTAGGGAGGTTGATCCAACTACCACTCGAAAATTGAGGGTTAGAGAGAGGCAGTCCACCAGATGGGAGAGGCTGAAGAGAAGCCCCAAGCTCTGCACCACTCGGAAAACCGACAATAGTTTGAACAACAGGCGTTGCCATGCCATCTGGTCCTACTGTAGTAACCGTAATGCAGGTGGTGAAAAGTTCACTTCCAGCAGGAGTAGCAGAAAGGCCTCCTTGGGGAAGAGGAAGACCGGTTTGGGCAGGTACAAGAGAAGGGTACCCAAGATTGGTTTGAACAGGCAAAGCACTGCCTAGGCCACTGGTAGGGATGACAATGGTTTGGATAGCAGGCGTTGTGAATCCATCTGGTCCTATAACGCCGACTGTGATGCAAGTTGTGGCAAAATTACCTCCCTCAGGAAGATTCCCGCTGCCTTGTGGAAATCCAGAAGCCTGAGCAGAAGGCAGAGGCAGTCCGTTGGTAACTGCAGGAAGAGCGCTGCTCGCGAGCACAACAAAGGTGGACTCAACAACCGTGGGAATCCCATCAGTTCCCAGGACAGTATAACTCGTGCAGGTAGTGATGGCATTCGCACCACCAACATTCGTTCCGAGTTGTGAAGGGTAACCAGAGACTCCGCTAGCTTGGCTTGGGACCCCAGTGACGACGTTGGCAGGAATCGCGCCGGCAGTTGGGTTTGGAACGACCCAAGTGGTACCAACGACAGTTGGAAGGCCATCAGATCCCAGCACTGTATAGCTTGTGCAAGTCGTACTGCCATCCATGCTCATGCCAGCAACCGTTCCAGCAGTTTGAGTTGGGATGCCAGTGACCTGATTTGGGAAGCCACCTACAGAATTCGGACCAGATATGCCCAGCTGCGTGCTTGTCGGTGCGGGCAACAGCCAGGATGACTCAATGACAGTTGGAAGTCCATCAGGGCCAAGGACAGTGAACGCAGTGTGTGTCGCGATGACTGGTCCACCAGGCAAGCCCGTGATGACACTGGGGTTGGTTGGAAGGCCGGAGAGAAGGCTAGATGGGAAGCCAGATGGGAAGCCAGATGGAAAGCCTGAAGGGAAGCCTGAAGGAAGGCCAGAGAGAAGGCTGGAAGGGAAACCCGATGGAAGACCCGATGGAAGACCCGATGGAAGACCCGATGGAAAATCTGATGGGAACCCTGAAGGGAGGCTCGCAGTGGCTGTTGGGAAGTCGACCCAAGTAGAGTGGACGATAGTGGGAACTCCGTTGGGCCCGATGATGGTGTAGCTGGTGCACATGGTCTCAGCTGCGGTTGCTAAGACGCCTGAAGTTTCTGAAGCACCACCTGGATTGAAGCCAGAGATCGGAGCGGTGACTGTGGGGAAAGGTTGGCCAGCACCATTACCATTGCCGTTGCTGGGTTGGGTTCCAGGAAATTCGAGGACTGTTGGTTTCCCATCTGAGCCAATGACTGTCACTTGAACAGGATGGTTGCCATTCACACCACCTGTTCCAGTTGGCGAAGAGTAGTCGGATGGTTGTCCGCCACCGGGGTTGGAAGAAATGTTAGGGAAGTCATCCCCATTGCCGTATGCGGAATTTTCAGGGGGGACAGCGGTAGGAGAACCAATAACCGGTCCAGCGCTGAAAGATGACTGTCCGTCTGATGGCGTGGGATGTTCCCAAGGCTCAGACACCGGTGCGTTGCTGGGCCAAGGCTCTTGTGTCTGTGAAGGGAAACCACCAGGAAAGTCCGCGGAGGTCTCAGCAGGATCAGAAGCGCCATCAGTGTAGATAGGGGCGGACGGAACATCAGATGTAAATGCGTTGGAGGAATCAGGATCGCTGCCCCAAACGTCGATTGTGAGTGTGGTGAAAGGCTTGACACTGGTGTGTGCGGCCTCAACCGATTCAGCTGAAGAAATCGGGACGTGTGTAGTAGGGAACGCAGTTTGATGAATGGTTTGCTCGGGGTCAAAGTCACTGGGCTGGATAACACCAGAAGGCGTAAGATGGCTAGTAGGGTATACAGTGACAAAAACTGTTGTGACGACTTGGAGAGCGCAGGTAGACATGTCAGGAGTTGTACCGGGGAGATTTCCAGGGAGGCCAGCAGGAGAGCCATTGGAATTTCCACTTGGATTTCCATAGGCATTGCCATTGGGGTCATCATTGAAGCCGCCGTTTGGAGATCCGGCAGGAAGGCCAGCAGAGTTGCCATTGGCATTGTTGCCCTGGTTGCCGCCATGCGTTCTGTAGCAAATTTAGTATGAGAGCCAAGCAGGGAGAAGGAAGAAGCAGTCTGTACCCGTAATCTGCCTGAGCATTCGCGTGCTGCACTACGGTGCCGGCTATCAAGGCCGCCAAAGAGGTGAAGACCCGCATAATGGGCGAGTACGATTGGCAGAGTTGGCGTGATCACGAACGATCCGTAAATGATGTCGGTGCGATGAGTCCAACAGAGGTGGATGTGAATGAGAGACAGAAACAATGAACGAGTAAAGAAGGCGAGGTTGAAACGAGAGAAAAGAGGTGAGGTAGAAAGAAAAGAAGAAGAGAGGGGAGAGGGAGAGGGAGGAGTTTTGATGGCAGCAGAAGAGTACTGCGTGCCCGAGACTGGGAAGGAAAGAACGTCCATCTTATCAGCGGCGGTCGTATGATGGCGTGTGTGTGCCTGAGGAAGACGCGGTCTCCTTCCTCAAGTTGGCGGTGTGGTTGGCCAATCTACGCCTCAGAGGGACCGATCCTGCTTCGAAAACTAGAGCAAGAGCTCTTGACAGCCGAGAAGTTGACGTAACGGATTCCTCTAGGCTCAGGGAGGGGACATCACCGAAGGAAAGAACGTCGGGATCTCGCTCACCGTCTGCGCAGTGACGTGACCGGCATTGATACCCGTCGTATTCGCATTTCGAATGATGTGGTCGTGCCTACCTACCTTAGATGTATTGATCCTTTCGCGAGAGAGATGGACCACCCCAACGCGCAAGGTAGGTGTGGGTGAAAATGCAATGCGGAAGCCAATTGTCAGCGTGAATGTGGTGTAAACATGGAATACAATAGCGCCTACTCATCTGTATCCCACAAGCTAGGGCGAGCTGGCGCAAGATGCCATGAGATTCAGCTGTATCTATGTGATGGAGCTTCAGATCAACCGTTGCAGTGAAAGGGTGAATGAAGCATGGCAGAATCATGTGTTACTATTGTATGGAATATTGTATTGTAAAGGCTGGCAGAAATACTCCAAGCTACCGATATATTTTGCATAAGATACATCATCAACAAGAGCTTTTCTGAGCTGTGTGGACGCAGCATCAGTCCGCTGTAGATGTCTTCATTGGTCTCTGAAGTGCGATGTAAGACTATTGGATGCCTTCTGAATGTGCCAAACTCCCTAGTCCTGGGCAACTCGCGGGTGAAACCATGGACCAATTAGCGTCTGGGCCAGACGTCATCTACTACCTTGTAAGAAAACCGCACGGCTATTGGCGGGAATCTTGATGCGCAGACGCATGCACCAAACACGGTTGCTTGTGTCACCGTAGCCACGCATGGCCTTGACTGACTTCATTTAGGCATCACGGCCAGCTTCACGGGCCTCGGCCTCATTTGCATCCTACCACCACCTATACACGATGCAGTCATGTCTTCTCACGGTCTACCTAACAACACTCTGCTGCTACCGCCCAGAGAACGATGCCTTTCTAGGTTCTTGAATAACCGACCGTTTCTCTACGTCAAGCGCGCAGCTGTTGCGGCATCCTATCCCATTCGCGGCATCTGGTACTTCACACGAAACAGAGAATTTTGGCCTCTCCTATTCGGACGGCTAGTCCCTCTGTCTCTGATCTCATTTTTCGTATACTTCGTCCTCTTCTCGTTTGCATTCCTTCCGCAATTCTTATTCCTGGCCATCTTCCATGGCTGGGGCGCCTGGTTTAATGCCGTTGTTCTCGTGCTGGGCGAAGGATTGGTGATTGTTCAGGGCTTATTCGAAGGCTTCTTTGTTGATGAGTGCCGAGTGGATGTTTTTGATGTAAGCCCACAAGACGAGATGAACCGGTTATTCAAACTGCAGCTAAACCATTGCTAGGCCACGCTTATCAAACTCTCACTGAAGGATCTGATATCTCCTCATCGCCTCTTGTTTGAAGATGCACCCGATGCAGTCAAAATGTTGGGAAAGCCGACGAGCCCGGCTACCTTCAATCCATGGAGCACAATTCAAGTTGTAGAGCTCATCTTCTTCCTTCCTCTCAACCTCATCCCCTATGTCGGAACCTTTGCCTTTATTGTTATAACGGGCACTCGACTCGGGAAACTATCGCATCACCGCTGGTTCCAACTGCGAGGCTTGACAAAGCCAGCCCAAGCAATTGAAATAAAGACACTTGAGTGGGACTACGTCTGGTTTGGAACCGTGGCCATGATCCTTGAGCTCATACCGGTGCTTTCTTTCTTCTTTCTTCTAACTACGGCCACGGGTGCAGCCATGTGGGCAGCGGACTTGGAGAAGTCGAGGAGAAGAGAGGCGGAATCTGACGCTAGACAAGCGGCAGCATCTCGATATACAGATGACTTTGCGTAGACTTTAGATTACGACTTTAACGGCATGGACAATGGATACCTAGATTATACTAGCTCGAAAGCGAATACAATACAATCCATACACCCTCGCAAAGATTTACCTGTCTTGTACATTGCCGTAACATTCCATCGCTCTTCGTAGAGTACTAAGCGATGTCCAACCGCGCCTGAGTGCCTCTGCTCTGCATATCTGTTTGTGCTCCACTGCTCGCTCACCTTAGCAGTGCTGGGTAGCTGTTCTGTGGGGAATTCACCAGTGGACGTCAATTGGCACCAGGCAATGGACCTCTATTAGTAAGAATTAACACCCACCATCCACCCTTTAACACCCGTCTAACACCTCTTCGTCATCATTCAGCCTAGAATACCTGCACTTTATGCCACCATCTGTACAAGCAACCTGCAGCCACCCAACCGGCCACAAAGACTCCTAAGCATCGACACTCGACATCCTCTCCGTCACGTTACCTTGCCAATTCCAGCTTCTACACCGAACTATCTCTCAGAGAACGCGACCCCGTAGCAACCATGGCTGACCGAGGCCTCTCCCAGATTCTCTCCCAGCTAAAGCAGTCTCCCCAGATGAGCTATCCCGAGGCCAGCGCCCTCCTCTCCAAGGCCAAACTCAGTCTCCTCAGCCTCAACGCTCTGACTCCGACTCCCTCAACACCCTCGAACCTTCTTGCCCTTGCCCGAGAGACCTATGAGCAAGGTGCCCTGTTCTCTATTCGCGCCAAAAACGCCGATGCCTTCACGCGCTACGTTCAGCAGCTGCAGCCCTTTTATGAGCTGCCATCAGCCACCTTGCCGCCAAACCTCCCTGAACGTAACAGGGTCACGGGTCTGAGCCTGTTGCTGCTCCTCACTCAGGGCCGCTACGCTGAGTTCCACTCAGAGCTGGAGAGTCTGGCAAACAGGGATGGTGGCGGGGCCGATGTGGAAGGCGACCGATATCTGGGATACCCTGTTCGCCTGGAGAGGTGGCTTATGGAGGGAAGCTATGATCGAGTATGGAAGGCAATGAAGAGCAGCGAAGTCCCCTGCGACGAGTACAGTGTCTTCTCTGAGGTGCGTACTAATGAGTCTGCCTTTGCACCTTGTGACACATTGGCTAACTGAACGGATGCGGACAGATCCTCAAGAACCAAATACGATCCGAAATCGCCAGCAGCAGCGAGCGAGCCTACCCTAGCCTTCCGATAAGCTCCACCAAATCGCTATTATTCCTGAATTCAGAAGGAGATGTTATTCAATTTGCCAAGCACCGCGGATGGCTGGTTAAGGAGGGCCACATCTATTTCCCCAACACTGCGGCGGAAGGCAGTGAAGATGGAGTTTACGTCAAAGATATGAGCCAAATGATCATGGAGAATACACTCGGCTATGCTCGCGAGCTGGAAACCATTGTGTAGAGAGCGTCAAAGAAGGCATGGATTGGTTTAGTCACATTAGGTGCAACATCTCACAATGCTCAACAGCATAATTAATTATTCATCAAAACAGGTTCCACTAAGACATGATACAATAGCACCATTTATATATGTAATCGAGCTTGATACAGCCGTTCACTGCTCTCAATCACCACTAAAGCCTCTCCCGACCAGCCACATCCTCCAATACCATTTCGTTAGATTCCATGACTATGATATTGTTACGCCCCTTTTGAGCACCCCCCTTTTACAGTTCCAAGTCCAAATTAGGTGTCTATGAAAACAATCTCAAACCGCTGCCGTGTTTGCCAATCTCGCAAACTCCGCACACTCTACAAACTGATCCCTTGAAGCTCGAGTGGTACTTTGACCCATCAAATGCACACTCTTCGAATGGCGCTCCGCTATAGATTGGAGTGTGGCTAGCGGCGCAAATCTCAAATTCTGCAAATTGATCAAACTCGATTTCAATGCTGTCATTTGGATTCCTTTCACATTGTGCTTTCGTCTTCTTGGCCTATGTATTGAAGTATCTCGTTAGAACTTGAAAGAAAAAAAGATTCAGAGTCAAGGCAGATTTGGTTGATCACTTACATTCTCGACGATTTTGCTGGAACCTCCATTAGCAATTATACGGTTTGCAAAACCCAAAGCCGAGTTGTAGTTCTTGCTCTTTATCGCCACCTTGATGGCGCTAAGCAGTGCAATCTGTCGATGAGGCACCTCGATCTTAGGAATGGTGAAGTAGGCGGAGAGCTCCAGGCTCTTCTTAAGCTTCGCGGGGTCTTGAGCGATCTCATCAAGTGAACCAAGGTTTCTCCTGGCAAGCTCAATGTTCATCGCAATACTGTACTCTCTCGCTGAAACAATCAGTTTCTTTGCCTCCGCCACTTCGCTCTCGCTGGAAACTGCATTGACAAGAATAGCATGAAGGATACCCTGGAATATCTGGGCACCATCCTCCAACTTATTCGCCTTCATTGAGTCGTAGCCCCTCTGCAAATCATTAGAGGCCAAGTGCTCCAGATCGCGTGGGATGATAGGCAGGACTTTTCGAAGGTCCGTTTCATCAACGGTACGGCGAACATAGTTAACGAGAGGAGGCAAGTTGGCCAGTGCCGGAAGGAAAGTCTTGGAAGACTGATACACTTCCAAGAATCGAGGCTTCAGAGGAGCAAACTCGACTGCGCCAACTTGTCGGTTCAGGAGCTGCATGGCCGTTTCAAATGAGCCTCCAGCAACGTGATCAACAGCTAAAGGCGAGTTTCGTGCCCAAACATCAGCCTCGCAGCTTCCAGCACCACCTGCTTCCGCGCTATCGACATTCACAAAGTCGTTTTCGATTTCAGGAACCTCGTCATCACCCATATCCCAGCCTGCTGCATCATCGTCTTCTTCTCCAGGGATAGCAGTGAGTCCGCCTGCCGGTTCCTCCTTCGCAACATGCTCAGTGTCGGCCCCGTTGGCGAGATTTGGTTCATCTTCAAGCGACAAGCCTTCTACCTGACCAAGAAGAGCATTTTCGAAGTAAGACTGTGAACTAGCCTTAGTGGGCCAGTTGCGTTTAAACGTCGACACCACAGGTTTTGATGGTACCAACGGTTGGCCTATGGTGGGCATGGTTAGCTGGTCTTCTGTGAGACCAGAAGCCTCAAGAATAGCCTCGCATTCTTCTTGCAGACCATGGGATTTGGCCGTTGTATACGCAAGTGGGTCTATGAAACGGTTAGTACTCCATGCAACGGCAAGAAGGAATTGGCGCACGTACACAAATCGATCTCCTTCAACATTTGAATGCGGTCTTCCACATCGCCAAGGTAGATGGCATTCTGAAATCGCGAGGTGAAATCTCCACGATGCTCTGCAATCTTGGCCATTCGAGCAAGCTTAGAGTGATCACCTGTGGCCAGATAGAGGAACGACAGCTTATCAAACTGCTTCAGTTTCTGGTAGCACATCTCCACAATCTGGTGGTTGCCATGAGCCAGTGCTTCGGTCCCCAGTCGAGTCCAGAACTTTGGCTTATCCAGTTCCTTGGCCATCTCCACAGCAACTTCTAGATTGCCGCATTCGATTGCCAGGTCAAATCGAGTCGTTGGGTCCTGAACAAATTGCAGCGCGATTTCGGGATAACCCTTCTTCTGGAGGTATGAAATAATAGACTGGCCCACAAGGCTAGAAGTGCGGATGATGTGAAGCATTTCCTCATAGTTTCGTTTGACCAATGCCATTTTGAAGCGATATTCCGTTGGGTCGATACGGAGAATACGAGGCTTCGCTGCTCGATCTAAGCAGTAAACATTTCGGCCCTTGACACGTACAAGGTATACCGTCTGGTCAAGTGTCCGGACGATGCCATTGTCGCCGTTCAGCAAAGCATACTTGACATGGTTCAGGGTCGAGTACAGAAGAATGCCCGCATCATCCCATGTGGCGCTCTTTATGCGGATAGTCTCATGTAAAGTGCTGATCTGCTCGAGAGACTTTGTCACAATGGTCACGTTATGTTTGCTCAACAAGGCGGCGTAAAGGCCATCGTTCGACCACACAATGTATTTAACACCATTGATGGAAAGCTCTGCGGTACTCTTTTTCTGCTGGATATCGTAAAGATACACAGTCGTTGGCGTGATAATAAGAAGGTTACCAGTGCCTCCAAAGTATATATCGGTAGTGCCATTGGGAGGCTTGAACGAACGAGCAGTGTTGTTCGACAGATCTTTGATATCGATGGTCTGGTTTGCAACGTTGAGTACAGCAAAGCGATTTCTGGCAACAAAAATGGCGGAGTTTCCTGATCCTCGTTTCGACTCGGTAGGCTCAATTACGCCAGATCCATCTCTAGGCAGACTCAGGAGTTCGTAAGAGCCACCATCATTAGGAGTGGCAACGAGAATAGATCTCTCAGCAGGGTTGTAAGACAGCGTCCGAGGGCTGACCCAAGGGCTTCCCAGTTTCTTGAGAGACAGGAGCGTTGGGCTTTCCACATCCTTCTGGAAATCGTACGATCTGACGTGCTTCTCCTTGGTGATGTAGAAGAGTGTATTCTGGTGAACAGCTGAAGCAGGACGCTCGCGTTCCAGCTTGAAAACCATGACACCATTGTCATGGCCAGCTGCGAACAAATTAATTTCAGGGTGAGCTGCGATAACCCAAAAGCGGTCATTTTCCCTCTTGAAGGATTGCACAGCAGTCCTCTTATTGAGATCCCAGACTCGAATCGTTTTGTCTTCTCCTGCCGACAGAATCAGGTCTTGGTGAGGGTGGAACAGACAACCCGAGGCATTCTGGAAATGGCCACGACAGGTGTCTACTTCCCAAGCTTTAGTTTCACTCATGCGCCAGAGCTTCACCAGGCGGTCATCGCCGGCCGAAACAATCAGCGGCATGGTGGGGTGGAAAGCCACCCAATTGACACCACGATCATGGCCCTCCAGAACAAACTTGACAACAGCATCTGTGTTTCCAAACATATCGGTTTGGTTTTGATTTGCACGCGCAATTTGGTCTTCGTAGCTCATCGACGTCGGCGCTGAGTGCTTCTTTCGCAGACCCGAAATATCCCAAACGCGGACTGACTGATCAAGAGAGGCCGACACCACAAGATCTTCTTTGGGGTGGAACTGGGCGCACATAGCATAGTGGTTGTGGCCAGTCATGGTACAAACTGAGAGAGAATTAGCGATCAATTATGTTTATCGCACCCGATGATGATGCAACGTACTCAAGCTGCGGTTCTGCCAGTTCCAAATTCGAATTGTCTGATCATCAGATGAAGACAGAATCCAAGGAAGTTCGTGATGAAAGAAGACGGTTCGAACATAGTCAAGATGGCCGTTCAGTGTAAAGAGGCATCGTCGGGTCTGATACGACCAGACTTTGATCTTGTAATCGTCGCCGCCAGATACGAAGAGGGGTTGTGTTTTATGAAAATCGACGCCGCGGACCGGGCCATCGTGCTCTTCGAATCGATCTATCAATGTTCCCATCCGGTAATCCCAGAGCTGGATTGTGGAGGAGTGAAGGGCCACAAGGATCCATGGTCTAGTACACCAAATCAGTTGCCTGAGAATTATCGCTCAACATGGGAGGCACGTAGCTACCTTTTCGGGTGAAACGCGATTCCTTTGGCCCTGGATGATTTCGATTCAAACTGAGGGGCATTAGTCCGGCATCTTGAGCTGGGCAGCTCTTGGATGGCATACCTTGGTCAACATTCCTGGGGAAGACTGCATTCTGGCGGGGAGGTGAGGTCGGAGCCTCGCACATCAAGGGAAAAGAGCGATTAGACAGAAGAATACAGGTTTGAGGGTATGTCGACGAATGGCAAAATCGGTCGTGATTGACCACGACAGCTATTCAAGCCTAGCCAGAAGGTCAGCATAAAAAGGAGCGAGATGGAACAGTGCGTCAACAAGCTTCCAATTGAGCATCGTGTCCATCTCCAATTGTGGGTATTGCGCCAGTCGCAGCCCCGCAATCTCATTGGACGTGACATCTCACCGCCTTGGCTGCCTCACCCCTCTTATATGGCCTAGGTTCATAAGCCACGACTCATTTGCTACATATTAGACAATCTATTGAATATAGATACAAAGATGTGACGCGTTTCAGCCATTCTGGTGGCCAATCCATGATGGAATAAAAGAAGAAACTACTGAATGAATAGTTGGAATACTGTGTTTTCTTTCACGATAATTCAGTGCAATAAATAGTCAACAGCTAAGATGTTTAAGGCTGTCATATTCTATGGATTAAAAAACAATAATAGCAGCAGAGTATTTAAGAAGTTTCTTCAAACGTAACTCGATGAATAAGGGAATCAGCAGCATGTGAGTAAATGGTGTGTTTCTTACTAGAATCCTATGACAAAGACTAGCTGTCCTTTTAATGCCCTGTTAGTTGCACTCGCTGATACCATAGCGTCCCCTGGCTGTAGACTGTGGGGGAGCTTTGATACATGCGGGACACTTTGGGGGGGGCACGTTTTCGTATAAGGTATGAACCGATAGCTGTACGCTTTTGGACAGCTATCTAAAGCGAACACACGTTACCGACTTTTCCTTTATTGCATCGTTCGAGAGGGCAAATTCTCTTCTCGGACGTAATTGCTCTGCAATCGCAGTCCGGCTGCTTATCCCTTTGGTCAATCGTGCTGCATGTCCCAACATATGTTCGTCGAAGGAGTACTTTGGTATTCCGCTCGTCCTTGATCATCCATCATGGCACGGCATCGCTGCTGGCCATGGAACTTAACAGTCGGCCTGATGCTTGCTCTGCAAGCTCATGGCACTCCCTCGGTAAATGTGGGCATCAATGCAGCTTTCCCTGCTGGCCCATATCTCCTTGAACTCTTGTACTTATCTGTTGCCCTGTCTTTCTTCTATACCTAGGTTTGAGCAAGTACTAAACAGATGATAGAGAGACGGCAGCGGCAGAGAATTCCTCGGCATATTTCCCTCTCCTAGACCGAATTGCAGCTGGATCCTTTGCTTCCGCCTCTACCGATGCTGCTTTGTATTCTGGGGTCCTCGATGTCTTGCAACAAGAGGGCCTCATGTCCAGCTCCGAAGCCTTGTCTACATTCAAGCTTGCTTTGTCGTTGCGATCGGCTGCCCCTCGGATAGAAGCTCATTATCAGCACTACACAACGGCGGTTGCACCCACAGTTGACGATTCGGAATGTGTTAACTGGGTGCTACTGGAGGGAAACCAATATTGTACTCCCGAGCTGGATAAAGTCAACAGGGACGGCCTGCTTACTCTGTAAGTATCTCTAATCAGGTTGTAGAGCGAATTCTGATATTTGAAACAGGCAAGCCAAGCACCTGCCATTCGATCGAACTCTTGGCACCGGTAAAGAAGCCATCCTCTACGCCGACCCAACCTCGAGCACATTTGGGGAGTTTCACAAGGCTCTTTCCAAGGCCGCAAGGGAAGGTTCTTTGAGCTATCGGATTAGATACCGCCGGACTGAGGCAACACATGCGGCAGCTCTACCAATAAGCGGGTATGGTGTTGAGCTCGCACTGAAGAGAACCGATTACATTGTCATCGATGACCGATCACACGATGATGCAGCTCATCATGAGAGCCCTAGTTCAAGCACCAACCTTGATGACAGTGAGGATGTTGCCGATATCAAGCCTTTAGCGGCATCAGATCTCTCGTCACTTGGAATGAAAGCCGCCTCGTTTATATTACAAAGCGACGAGCCGTTGGGTACCCTAATCAAATTAACACAGGACTTGCCCAAGTTTCTGACATCAGTTGTTGCTCACAATGTGTCTACACAATTTGAGGAAGAGTTCCAAAACAATGGCATAAAGGGGGTGCCGGATGGAGTGAACGTTCTATTTGTCAATGGCGTTCAAGTCAGTGAACGGCAGATTGAGCCTTTTGCTCTCATCGACAGACTACGCCAAGAGCGAAAACTGATTGACGGTTTCCGTACCCTTGGTCTTAGTGGGAAACAGGCGGTAGCTATTCTTGGACATCAAGCTGTATCCATGGCAAAGGGCTCCAATGAACCGCTGCGATATGACTGGACAGATCGTCTTGAAGATGGGCGAGTTTTAATATGGCTGAATGACCTCGAAAATGATGAGGCATACCAAGACTACCCAAAAACATTATCATCTGTAAGCCACATGAGAATGCAAGCGGAGAGACCGAAAACTGACGTTACCAGTTGCTCCGAGGAGCATATCCCGGACAACTCCCCCCTATTGCAAAAAATGTCTTCACCCTCGTGGCGCCTGTCGATTTTTCAAGCCCAGAAGATGTATCATTCGTTGCGCAACTACTATCATTCATCTCACGAGGCCTTACCATCAGATTTGGTCTCGTTCCTTTGGTGTCAACCCCTGAGGCTACCACTAAAGCCAAGATAGTCTATCACATTTTCGAGAATTATGGCATCCACGGCCTTATCAGCTATTTAGAGCGACTTCAAGATCCTGCTGCAGCATCAACCAACGAGGAGCTTTTCGCAGAAGTAACCAGGGATCAAAAACCCCTTGAGGATTCGGAGAAGATGGAGCTCGTTGAAGTCCTTGAAAAAGAGACCTACGAGCAACAACTCAAACTTGTCCAGAAATGGATTGATCGCTTGAAAGCTGGAACTCCGGTCCGACCGGTATTTTTCAATGGCCTGTTAATTCCACGCGATGACAACTGGTTGCAGGGACTGGGAATGCTGATCGGAGAAGATCTTCAAACTGTGCAAAAGGGGGTCTTTCATGGCATTCTCACTGATGATGACTGGGCTCCAGGGATTTTCCTTGGCATTGCAATTACCAGGAGGAACAGCTACATATCCCCTGACGATGAGAAAAAGGGCCTCACGGTGCTCAACATTAACAAAATTTATAATGAACATGCAGATCTGTTTGAGATCATCCCGGTCCTCGATGCCCTTGCGGAATCGCAAAAGGAAGACTGGGCAGTAGTAACCGTCATCGCCGATCTTACAACAACAAGTGGCAAAGAGTTGGTTTTGGCCGCTCTAGAATTCAAACGCCATAACCCGGGAGTCAGGCTCGAATTTGTTCACAATCCGGTCGCTGCTGTTGCCGCTGCATCCGTAAATGCTGCCCTCCGAGCCAACCAAGAATTGTTGGGCAATATTCAGGATGCAGGCGAGCTTGCAAAATTGTTGGAAACACAATCTGAGGACCTTAACGCCAATTACTTTGAAGTACTAGAGCGATTCCTTGGTGCTTCTAAGATTCTTTCGGGAACTCAGATGATTATGCTAAACGGCCGGGTGATTGGGCCCATTTCTGGAGATTCTCAGTTCGATGTTGATGACTTTCAACAATTTCTAGATGTTGAACGGACAAAGCGCATCCTCCCTGTATACGCCGCAATCGAAGAACTCGGTCTGGGAGATACACTGTCTACTCCAATTGACGCTGCTAAATTAACATCCATCACCGCTCTCTCTACCATCTCCGACCTGCCTGAAGGAATATTCGAATCAACGACATCTGCCCGAACCACTCTTTACAACACCTGGGAGTCGACTCACACAGTCATTGAAGTAGGCGATCAAGAAGCTGCGAGCATATACATAGTTGGCCTCGTAAACCCAGTCAGTGAGCAAGGCCAAAGGTGGGCTCATATCTTGAAGGTGCTCTCTGAGCTAGAGGGTGTTCACCTAAAGCTTTTCATCAACCCTTCGGCAAAGATCGAGGAACTCCCAGTGAAGCGATTTTTCCGATATGTGTTGGAGTCAGAGCCGTCATTCAATGAAAATGGAAGCGTTAAGAGGCTGGAGGCTACTTTCAGTAGCCTACCCTCTGAAGCTCTGTTGACAACTGCTGTTGATGTGCCCCCTGCATGGCTGGTAGCACCTCTGATTTCGATTCATGATCTCGACAACATCAAATTAAGCGCAGTAAAAACCGACGTCCACGCGACTTATGTGCTGAAGCATATTCTTATCGAGGGACATTCTAGGGAAGGCAAAGGAGCAGCGCCACGAGGTGCCCAGTTGGTTCTAGCTACGGAGAAAAACTCCCTCGTTACGGACACCATAGTCATGTCGAATCTTGGCTTCTTCCAGTTCAAGGCTAATCCTGGAGTTTACACCATCCAGCTGAAGGAAGGTCGCAGCGCCGAGATATATGAGATCGAAAGCATTGGTGCCCAGGGATGGAATCCTGTGCCTGGTGATAGCGGCACCGAGCTCGCGTTGATTGACTTCCAAGGCGTGACCTTGTATCCCCGTCTCCAAAGACGGAGTGGCATGGAAATGGAGGATGTTCTCCAAGAAAAGGACCCCCAAGAAAATATTATAGTGGCCAAAGGACGCAAACTGGCAGAAGGGCTTTTCGGCGGAAAATCTAAGAAGAAGTCGCTTTCTGAACAGGAACACGCAGAGATCAACATCTTCTCTGTAGCCAGTGGCCATCTCTATGAACGGATGCTGAATATCATGATGGTGTCAGTGATGCGCCACACAAAGCACACTGTCAAGTTCTGGTTCATCGAGCAATTTCTTTCCCCCTCCTTCAAGGAGTTCATCCCACACATGGCCAAGGAGTACGGATTTAAGTACGAAATGGTATCATACAAGTGGCCCCACTGGCTACGGCAACAGAAGGAGAAGCAGCGTGAGATCTGGGGCTACAAGATCCTGTTCTTGGACGTCCTGTTCCCCCTGTCCTTGGACAAGGTCATATTCGTGGATGCTGATCAGATTGTGCGCACCGATATGATGAGTCTGATGAACCTCGATCTCGAAGGTGCTCCGTACGGATTCACCCCAATGTGCGATTCTCGCACCGAGATGGAAGGCTTCCGTTTCTGGAAAACCGGATATTGGGCAAACTACCTCCGCGGCCGGCCATACCACATCTCCGCCCTTTACGTCGTCGACTTGCGGCGTTTCCGAGAGCTCGCTGCCGGTGACCGCCTTCGCCAGCAATACCACACTCTTTCCGCTGACCCCAACAGTCTCGCCAATCTGGACCAAGACTTGCCGAACCACATGCAGTTCCAGATCCCCATCCACAGCCTACCTCAGGAGTGGCTCTGGTGTGAGACTTGGTGCAGTGACGAAAGCCTCAGCGAAGCTCGCACCATTGACTTGTGCAACAATCCTCTGACAAAAGAACCTAAGCTTGACCGAGCGAGAAGGCAAGTCCCCGAGTGGGTTGCCTATGATGAAGAGATCGCAGCTTTGAGCAAGGTCTCCAAGGGAGAAGCAGGAATCACCGACAAAGAAAGGCTTTCTGACGATAGAGACTCGAGAGCAGCAGAGTCGCATGGCAAGAACACCAAGAGCCGGAACCTAGAGAATGAAAGGACACACACAATGGACGAACTGTAAAGAGAGAGGACATATGGGTATATATGTATTAGATTTAAATCGCCCCCAAACAATCTGTCTTTTTTTACGAGGCTAGCTCACTCACATATACACTAACGTCACGAGATATATAGGCAGCTAGATAGTTTTCAAAAAAAACGAAAAAAGTCTATTTAGGCAAACGTCGTGATAGAATAAACAATAAAAGAAAGAACTATGATAAATCATAAGGACCATGCTCCACAAATGTAAAGCAAGCATATACTAGTAACCTATCTCTTAAGAGACCAAGCCAGCTACGGACGGTAGTGATAGACATTTGAGAGCTTGAAAATCACTCCATAATGGAGATCATTAGGTTACATTGAAATTAGACCTACATGATCAAAATAGTCTGATCTTGCCAGTGGAATCAGCACCCGCGCCTGATGTGGTCGTTTTCCTGCCAGCACCGGTGTAGTCTGACGCGCCCGTGCCAGTTTGTTGAGTTCCATTTGTGTTGTCATTGTTTTGGTGGTTTGGCTGTAACAGTCGGAAGCCTGCAATATTAGACAAGGACTTGTTCAATGAGTCAGGAATGGATTTGGCAGCAAAAATCGGTCCGACAATCAGAGCGATGAAGACGATGGCGAGAACGAAATAGAGAATAGCAAAGCGAATGACGCGGCGCCGCCTAAGTTTTGACTGTTTCATGGAGTAGATAGGAGGACGAATTTGTCGGCTGCAGAAGCGTGTTAGCACAATACGGGATTACTCAGTCTTCACAGAAGTACTACTTACCTAGGCAAAAGCCAGAAGAGCATCATGGAATGCAGCATATCAACCCGAGGAATCAGGATGACGGGGATCATGAAGAACAGCAACCAGTGTCCAAGAATAAAATCAGCTGCAAACATGCTGAGTTCTGTAACCTTGGCAAGCCACTCACGGGCAGGCTGTGTGACGGTGTGCCAGCCCATGGAGTACCATTTTCCAGTCCAGAAGGCGATGTTGGATCCCTCGCCCTTGAATTCTCGCGTCAGGAACAGCGAAATAATGAGCTTGAACAAGAATCGCTGCATGCATACGACTGCAATCATGCCGGCCATCGTACGGGCAAAGTTGAAGCCTTCGAGCAAAAACAGCACCTCAAAGAAGACCAACATGAAGATGACTGAAAGGGCGTGTGCAATAGCGGCCAAGACACTGCCAAATTTCTTGCAGCACATGCTTAACAAAGGTCCCATAAAGCACGCCATGGCAAACATAACCATCAGCACACCAGCGTTGACGGCGACTGGTCCGAAAGCGACAATCAAGATTCGAATGAGAGAGTCGGTGGGCTGAATGGCGGCAGCTGTCTGGCCCTTTGCAACCTTTTGATTGTCCCGAAGCACACCGGTTTGCGCGTTCAAGAAGAGGTAAGGGATCAGTGTGAGGACAGCGAGGATGAGGGGTGTCACGATTTCAGTGGCGAAAATATTAGCGATGGCTGCTCTGGGAACATCTCCCGACATCTTGGCTGATGCATCACCCAAATGCTTGCGCTTGTAACCAGTAACTCGGATACGAGACAGTCGGCAAAATGAAATCCATGAAGAAGCGTGCGATCGCGAGTTACCACGCGACAGCCAACGAAGATAGTCACGATAATCGATGAAAAAGTCAGTCCATGCAAATTGATGCGGATTGTACAAGAAAGGAGAGATGGTCAATCCAAGCAAACTGATCCAAAAGTAGGCGAGCGCAGGCTGCCAAGCGGTGACAGTTGCAAACAGAAGCATCATCAACAATCTAGCACCGAAATAAATTGACGGGGCAGCGAATCGAGAGTACAAGACACCAAAGGGAATGCGTGCTGTGGCGAAACCACGACCTGTTCCGATGTATCGAGCACCGCCAAACGAAATGTTCTGTTGCACAGAGTTCGCGTAAATCTGAGTGACGAAGATTTCAAAGAACGGTGAAAGCGACAGGATTTGTTTCAGGAATCGACTGAGGGCCCTCCAGATACCACGCTCAGTCAATTCCTGCACAATCAGAGGAACGAAAGCTAGGAAGAAGACGAAGAAAATTGAGAAAACACAGCGTTGGACCCAATCCATCAATGCGTCCGTGTTTTGACAACCAGTGGGGAACAAAGGATCGGTGATGGGAACGTCTCGGTTGTAATCGCATGCAATCGTCTCGTGTCGTAGAGCGGCAATGTTCATGAGCGTAATCATGAACATTTGAATGGACAGCATAATCAACATGTTGTTGACGTGGAAGCCGGCGTGAGCGTAGTAGAATGACAAAAAGCGATCCAGGGGAAGTTGGGTTCCTAGGTAGTGGTACTCTCGAGAAAGAAGCTGCTCGCCCATACCAGTACCAATCTTGGTTGTGAAGTTAAGAACGGAACCAAAACCCAAATCACGACCCTTACCACACTGATAGTATTCGCAGTGCTTGATTCGACCTCCTCGCAACATGGCGTTCATACCAGCGAAAATATCTTCGTTCAAGTGCAAACCCTTCTGAGCCTTTGAAACACCACCACGGGTTGTCATGAAAATGCCGTTGAGGAAATCAGGGTGACCGTAATGGAGCTTGCCTCCGATTTGAGCCATAGTACGTGCAAAAAGAGTACCGAACGTCTGTTCCTTTCCTGCAGCAATATCACCAAGAACACCGATGTTTTCCGAGAAAATGTACTCACGGGCACCAAGAATAGCAACAGGCGCAGGTGAGTTGTTTTTCACACCAGGGGTATAAGGTGATACGTTTTCAGTCTTCATCTCTTCGAACTCGGCCAGTACGCTTCGAATTTTCAGACATTCTTCCAGATAGTTGTCTTGATTGGCATCGATAAGCTGAATATATTCGCCACGGTAGAAGATGATTGCGTGGTTTTGGTTGTCGGATTTTCCGTCTCCAAGAATGGGGTTGCCAGAAAGCTGGACGCGGAACTTGGGGCGTCGCAGACCGTTCTCCATGATTTCAGAGTGTCCGTCAATGAGGGCAGAGTACAGTCTAGGCTCTTCGCCTTCAGCAACGGGAGGCTCCTCATCCAAGTAAGCAATTTGGAGATCAGGGTACGCGCGGAGTAGGAATTCGGCGTTTTCCATTTCTTCCTTCTTGAACTTGGAATAACGCTGCATGGCCACACAAATTCTGAACTTGCGGCGGGCCATGCGCTCCAGCTCTCGCTCCAGCTTATCTGTGTTACCACCAAACATTTGCACGACTTCGGGGTTTTCGACTCTGTACAGCAATTTGATAGCACGGCTATAATTCATAAAACCGGAGATTGTTCGGTACAGTGTTTGGAAGCGTAGCGAAGCCCAAATACGCGTGCGGAGGGTATATTCGGGGGCAGAAGACTTGAATCCGATACAGTAGAATGGAAGATCATCGATTTTGCTCTTGGCCGTGTCTTTCTCATTCTTTTCCTCATCACCGTTCATTTGAGATGTCTCATCAGCCAGGATTTTGGTATCTTTGACGAAGCAGTCCCATTCGTGAGGGTGAAGTTGCTTGAGATACTCCAAAAGCGTAACTCTAGAGTAGGGCTCATCTTCACGAATAATCTCTCGCAAGGAAAGGAGAATCTTTTCACCATAGTGAGGAATCATGACAGTGAAAGTCGGCATGTTGTCGACTGGCAGCGGCTCCGGAATAGGAGTAGACAACGATTGAGCGAAGAAAGAAATTCGGCGTTCTGCTTCACTATTGCTAGGGAAGAACTCTGTCTTGAAAGAATGATCTTCTTGGGAAACAAAAAAGGTTGGAGCTCGCAATGTTCTCTTTCCTTCTTGTTCAGACGGAACTTGATGATACAGCAGTTTCTGCACGTGGTCAATGGCAAGAAGATGCTCCCGGTACATGGAGATGACAATAGCATTCCAGACTTGAGAAATGAGGACCTTGGGCTTATATTTAATTTCCATGTCCGTTGTTGCCAAGACTTTAGAATAGATGCGCTTCGGCAGACGAGAGAAGACATTTCGCCAAGGTGTCCAGATCGACGAACCAATGTAGAAGGATCTTGCGATGGAAAAGATTGCGGCGATCAAGACATAGAACAGATAGGTATCGAGGAAAAAGAAGAGCAAGTCCGTGAATATCATGAGACCCAGAGTGATCTTAGGTTGGTTCTTGCACAAAACGTCGGCAGCAGTGCCAAACAAATGATCACCCTGACAGTGCAGGTGCATGATTGAAAGATATCTCATGGGATCACGGAATGAGAGTGCCAAGAAGACATATGACTCTCCAAACTTGACTCCGAAAACCGTCAGCCATAGAAAGTACGAGACAGCCATGTCATTGAATGGCAGCGTCGCCCAGGCAGCCGTAAATGTTTGGCTTGCCACGTATTTGCGAGAGTTGGAGACCAAATAGCTACCAAACAAGCCACCGAGGGGCATAACGGCAAAGAACAGGAAAGTAAAGATGGCAATGATGAAGTGCACAATTCCGAGAGCATGGTCAACTGTCGAGTTTGGATTCTTGTCGGCAAACATGAAAACTTTGACACCGGGCGCAATGTTGAGAATCAGCATGAAGAGGAGGAAGAAGAGACGCTTGGTAAGATGTTCCGCGCCGGCCCATCTTCTAGGAACATAGGCCCATTCCGCCAAGGTTGCAAGAACTTGAATTAGAGCCGCGATGGCACCACCGAAACCAACAATAGAAAATTGTTTGGCGGCGGAGGGTGACTGGTTGACTTGCTGTTCGTAATCCTTAACCAGCAGTGAAGGGGCGTTGTGGGCGGTATAGAACCAGAACATTGTGAGATGGATAATCCAGATACGGTTGAAATTGGTCAGAAGATGGAACCAAGAACGAGATTCTCTGTAGGTCTTGAAGAAGCACTTTTTCCAATTGACATCCTTCAACTTCAAGTAACGCTCGGCAGGAGGGACATCGACGAGCTTGCTCTTGTCTTGGAGAACAATGCGCTCGATCCCTTCAGGATACCAGAAAAGCTGGTTGCAGTCATCATAACCAATAATGTGCTTATGATCCCGCTCACGTCTGACGTAAACGCCGTCGAGGATTTCGTAGCCTTGATCTCGGCAATACTGGTAGAGAGGTGTGATGATGTTGTTGAGGAACGTGAACTCGTCCACGGGTTCAACTAGCGCCTGGCATGCTGGAGAGAGAAGATAATCATGCGCACATTTGAAAATGAAGCAGAGCAATTCTGGCATGAATCGAACCTGATTGGCCTCTCCCCAGCAAAGCAAATAGAGGGCGATCTGACGAACCCGGTCATGCTGGGACATGCGGTTCATCCGGGTTTTCCAGCGGTACTCGGCAGCCTCAAGGCTGTCGTCGCCTTCAAGGTCTTGCAACATTTCCGCCTCGTTGGTAGGATCATCCTGCTTTCCCTTCTTCTTGTTCTTCGCTTTGCGCTTCAGCCCCTTGGCAGTGGCATTGGCAAAACCGACAGAGTCGTCCAGATCCAGATGAGCGGCGAAGTACCACCTGCGGTAATTGGCATTATCACCACCAATGTAATCACTGTGCAGCGATAAGAGGGCTTGGTTGGGTGTCATTCGCGAGGCCCTGGAGTCCAGCAGTGTCATGAAGTGGTCATACATGTTGCGCATGCTGTCTCTCTGGAATCCGAATTTGGAAGTCAGATCCATAAAAATATCCTCAATCTCCTCTTTGGACAGAGGGATTTGGGCATCCGAGGTCCAGGCTGGGTAGGGCTCGCGTGAGCGTTGTCCGGCTGGCAAGACATTACCATAGTCCATGCCGTAGTTGGGGGTTGACGCGCCCGATGATCGATTACCGCCATAAGAAACTTGGGAGGATGGAGGTCTGTACCCTCGGTTGTTGGACTGAGGGTCGCCATAACTGTCGTATCGCTCGTCTCCACGACCGTAGTAGTCCATCTCAGCTGCCCTGGCCATGTCCGACCTCATTGTGAAATCACTGAAGGTCTCAGAATCCTCTTCAGATCCTTGGCGATGTCCTTGGTTGTAGTTTTGGTCGTAGTAGCCTCCATGATTTTGGTATTCGTCATGGTATTGATCATCGCCATCATAATACCCGCCGTCGTGATGGTACGGATTGTTGGGATCCGCATTATAATATCCTCTGTGCTTCCCGGTCAGCTTTGTTCATCATGCAAAGGAATCGCGTCTGGAGATCGTACGATTCATCATAGTAACCATCTCCCCCGTGGTTACCGCCCTGGCCTCCGCCATGGGCGTCGTAATTGTTGTCATAGTACTGATCATCCTGATAGTATGAATCGGTTTGGTTATTTTGCTGGTGGCCGTCGTACCCGTCGTGGTGGCCGCCGCCACCGCCGCCAGGATACCCCGACATGTTGAGAAAGGGTTATCTGTGAGCAAGGTTAGGATTGATTGATGCTCCAGCGCTTGATCTTGATCCGGCGAAAGGCTCGCCAGTCTCACAGCATGCTGCTAACGTTGATGACGGCAATTCGTACCTAGAAGTTGGAGTGCATGAATGGACTGAGAAGTAAACCCAGAATATAATGAGCGAAATGGGACAGCGGGCGGTAGCTCGCACGAACAGCGTCCCGGCTGTGTGACCTTGGAAGTGAGGAGAAAGCGCTTGGCTGCAATTCAATGGATTGTTTCAACCACAAGAGGCGATGCGACGTGCGTGAAAAGCACAGGGTCAAGAATGGAAAGACGAAAGTCACAGCAACAACCAAACAGTAACGAGAGACGTAAGGCACTATTGTGAGAGCAAGAAAGATGGATGGCCGTCAGAACGAAAGACTGCCAAGAACAAGCAAACTTGGTGGAAAACAGGAAACTTCAAAAGGATGCAAGATCACGTGGAGGAGGCCTGAGCATGCGACTTAAGGGGGCGCAACTCCCCCTTTCCCATCCAGACGGAGTGCGGAACGGAGGTTGTGTGTATCAGCTCTGCAGAGGACAGGTGGAGATGCTAGGAAAGGGGGGAGACGGGAACAGGCAAGCACACTGCAAGCTTGCACTGGCACACGGGTACTTGCAACCGTGCCTGTCACTGTACTCGCTACCTGTGCGTGCATGCAAGTGTGGGCCGTGGTGGTAGTGCAGGTACCTGGCGGGCGACGGGACAGCCGGACAGAGCCCAAGGCGGGAGCCAGTCCCAGCCCGGCTGAACTGCCCAAGTGGCCAATGGGCCCCGGCACGATACGCTCAGGAATCCAGTATTAAGGACCAGCTGCCCTTCTCGTCGCCAGCATTCCCCTTAGCACAGCCCCTTCTTTGGCCGCCCATTGTTGAGAGGACGGATTGGCTCAGGGGGCTCCGGAGTCACCATCGGAAATATAGGTACTCGTACTGGATGCAAGGAACGCAAGGTATTGGGTGGATATGGGCAGAGACCGTGCGCGCCACTCTTACGCGCACCGTCGCGTCTGAAGCAGCCAATGGGTGCATAAAGTGACGGAAGCGGAACGCAGATGCAATACGCGTCATACACATGTCAACAACATGTACTAGTTGACCAGCAGCGGCACAATTGCTGCCACCATGGACTGGCACTAACGTATCAGCCTTGGGAGCTTGGTGGAGCTGCGTCAGTGGGCAATCTGTGCTTTTGCTGTCAAGGTCGCTGTGTTTTGCTCATTACTGGCACCAGCCGGGAACCAGCCTTGGAAACGTCAATTTAACTGCTTGGTAAGACTTGGATATCGCCATTCACACAAGAGGCAGCTTCGGATCATTATTTTGTCATCATGCCTTAGTGTTCGTATATCATTCTGCACGTCCGACGATTCCAGGCACCTTGGCAGAGCATCTGCTAATGTCCATTGCGGAGTTTTGAAACGGCAGACCCAAGGAGCTTTGTGGAGGCAACCTCACATTTTTTGGCGCTTCCTCTCAGGCACAGGTGGAACAATTTGGAAGTTGGAAGTTGCTATGTTAGGTACGAAGTACCATCCCATTGAGTGCGAAGTGGTGCACCCTACGTACTCTTCGAAGCTGCAGCCAATCAAGGAGTCAAACTTTGAAGATTCTCCCTTGATATAGAAAAACAGTGGATACAGGTACATAGGGTGCACCACTTCGCACTCGATGGGATGTACAGTACCGTCTCTACACGCGAGAGTTTGCTGGCCGCCCTCTTAGTCTCTTAGTCAGCACTGTAATTGGTCGGGGGAATGTTTTTGCGGCCACTGTTCCATTTCGCGGTACCTTGGTACCTGTACTGATGCATCGCGAGGCTTTCGCATCATTATCGCGGTTTTCACGATCAGAGCCTTCTGGGGCGTCAATGGAGACGGCAGCCGCTTCCCCCGACAGATCCCGTGCTATTCGCCCAAGAAAACTCTTCCACGTCTCAGTGTAATCACGATTGTAATTGGAATGGAGCAAGAGCACCCCAAGGATGTCGTCGATGGCGACGTCGACATGAAGGAAAGCCCCGACGAATCTAGTGTAGACATGGAAGGCAACCCTGGGCAAGACGAGCCTCACGACTTATTCCAACTGATTCATGACCTTTCAAAGTATCTATGTAGCGTCGAAGAAGGGTGAGTCGTCTTATACGCAGGAATTGCCAGCGACGCGTGCCGATTTTAACAAATGTCAGTGGCGAAGAGCTTGCGGCTGGGTTTCAGCGCATTCCGAACAGACGCCTTTTGCCCGACTACTTTGACATCATTGCCGAGCCTATTGCCTTCAGTACCGTCCGAGTATGTTTTTCTATACCTTGCCGATTATCCAGCCGCGGCTTTGTTAACGCAATGACAGAGCAAAATCCAAAAGAAGCAGTACACTGCCTTCTCCGAGTTCGTCAAAGACGTCGCACAGATATGCCACAACGCACAAGTCTACAATCGCCCTTCAGCGCCTATCTTCGGTGCTGCTGAACGACTTCGAGAGATCCTCCAAGAGGAGCTCAAGAAACTCGTTGAGAGTGGCGACATTACAGCCGATGATGCGCGTCTGCCAGACTTGGGAGAGCTGCCTCCTGTCGAAGACTCGCCTTCGCAGCAGTCCGAGGACGAAGACGAACAGGAAGGAACCAGAGGGCGAAATAACGAGGAGGACGAGGACGAGGACGAGGACGATGACGAGGAAGAGGAGGAAACCGATGAAGACTCCGGCGATGAAGACTACAAAGGGCGGCGGGGAAGACGCTATGCTTCCAATCGAAGAAGCCGCAGTAATGACAAAGATGCAAAGTTCCAGCAGAAAAGAGGCCGTCCACCAATGGTTCTTACTCCGACAGAAGCCAGAATATTCTCGCTCCTCAAGGAGCTCAGGAAAATCAAGGATGCAGACGGAAACGCACTTGCGGTGCCTTTCGAGAGGCTTCCGGATAAAACGATTGTTCCAGACTACTACCAAATAATCGCAAACCCCATCGCATTAGACAACATCAAGAAGAAGACGAAGCGAAAGAAGTACCAGTCAGTCGACCAGGCGCTATCAGACCTTGAGCTCATGTTTGAGAATGCCAAGGCGTATAATGAGGATGATAGCCCAGTGTACGAAGCTGCTGTGAAACTACAGCAGCAAGCCCGGGTACTGGCAGAACAAGAAAAGCTCAAACCAGATGACGATTTCCGTGACGAGGATGGCAAACTCCCTCTAGCAAGCATCGAATATAGCGGGGAAACTTGGAGAGTTGGTAAGTTTACTGCCCTGCTTATGTACCCCTGTTTCTTTTGTTTTCTCTCCCCTTTTTTTTAGTTGACTAACGTTTGGCTTACCTGTGGCATCGAAAAGGTGACTGGGTGCATATTCGTAACCCCAACGACTTAGCAAAGCCCATTGTTGCTCAAATATTCCGCACATGGCAAGATCGTGCTGGTCAGAAGTGGATTAATGCTTGTTGGTACTACAGGCCAGAGCAAACAGTTCATCGTTTCGAGAAACACTTTTATGTACACGAGGTTGTCAAGACTGGTCAATACCGCGACCATCCGATTGCAGACGTTATCGACCGCTGCTACGTAATGTTCGTCACTCGATTCAACAAGGGACGTCCCAGGGGGCTGGCGCCCGATAAGGACGTCTACGTTTGCGAGTCTCGGTACAACGAAGAGAAGTTCCACTTCAACAAAATCAAGACGTGGGCCAGTTGTGTTCCTGACGAGGTGCGGGACAAAGACTACGAGATGGACCTGTTTGATGTCCCTCGTCAAATGAAGAAGATACCCAGTCCAATCAAACACCTCCTGCGCGACGATGCCAAAGAAACAGATGAGCTCCCGCGACCTACTTGGGGAAGCCCAAATGCTCCCCCCATCATCGGCGCCGTGCATCGTCGCCCGCCAGGACCAAATGTAAGTCGTTGTTTTTTTTTTCTTGTTTACACTTTAACAGTTATCTTCAACGTAACTGCTTGTTGGTATAATATGATTTGTTTCATTGTATTTTCATGTATTCATCTTCCGTTCGAGATAAGTAGTCCTTGAATGCTGTGGACATCCAACTGACCCGAATGTACCTACCTCAGGAATCACCCCCTCCAGATCTCATGATGCCTGCAATGCCTGCCGCTTCCAAGATTCCCGCAGAACCAACTCAGCGCCTTCCCATAAATCCTGGAGTTAAAGATCCGGCAAGCGAGGCGGCAAGAAACGGAGCCATCCCTTACGGCATGGTCGGTGCAGTGCCACCTCCTAACCAGTATTACGGACATGTTACACCACATTTCCAGCCAGTCCCTCCAAACGCCGGAGCTATACCACAAACGCCAGTTCCCATACCTCATCAACCACAGCAGACGCCTCCTCCTCATATGCCGATGCGAGCAATGCAGTACCAATATCAACCTCATCAGCAACCTGCATACATGCAAAATTACAACGGCTATGCCCCGTCGCCAGCAATGCCCATGCACCATCAACCAGTGCCCAGTCCTCGGCCAACAGGGTATATGCAAGGTCACACTGCGACAGTGCCCAGGCCGCCGGGGATGGGGACCCCGGGTGTTGCTCAGCCACATGCCAACATGTACAATCCGCCGCGTCCCCCCGAGGTGTACACAATGCCAGATAACATGAACGAGTATTTACCAGAAGCGGTGCGACGGGAGTTTCAGCACGATGAATCTGGCAGAGTACTGTTCTTTTCAGCTGCCCCTCTTGATCGTTCATGCAATGGCCTTTCGCCGCTGAGCTCGGGGCTCGGACACAGTGCCAAATACCTTGCTGGGCGGAGCAAGTGGCTAGCTGAACGCGAAAAGAAGCGAAAGGATAGAGACGAGCTGTTGAGTGGGCTACGAGAAAAGCTACGGCGCACAGGGCTACAACCTGACGAATCCCCAGCCATCTCACAAGCCGCTCATTCAATGGAACTATTCTTTCAGCACCTTGGCCAAGACACTGAGCGTCTAAAAGAGGATGTCGGGCTGTAGCTTCAGATTGGACCTATCCATAAAAGGATCAATGCGTAATCGTACCTTTAGTCTGCTATATCTTACACAAGGCGAATATCGGACGGCTGGTGTTTTTGGAGTATCTTGGCCATACTGGGATAGTATGCCCCCATACAAGGCGGGAATATGGACTCGAAAATTCGAACGATGAATGATTTGGCGGGCAATGAGCTAGAACTCACACAGTGAATTGTATCAAGACGATGAAAACTATAACCTGGCAAGCAATTTTGATTTAATTAAAGGCATGTCGCCATTTGGGCGCAGTAATCTGCCACAGACCATTTCAGAGTCGCGTGCTATGCTATTTATATCATCGTATTAAAACTGCGCCTCCAACCTTTTGCCAGTCAGGATATTCTGCAGATTCAGTCTCATACTCCACCGGATGGACTCTGTCTCGCCCTTGTCACGAACACTGCCATCTCCCCCAACATTCTGGATGTCGCTGCCGGAGGCAACCAACCCCTTTGCTTTGTGGTGGAACATGATGGTGGGATTGACGCTGATGCACTTCATGTTGAGGGCGCTGCTTTGATTCCTGCCCAGCCCATAGATGGCATCTCTGCAAAGCTGTGCAAGTGAGTTGTCGAATGCCATATGCAGGCCATCCACACTCAAGCCGTAGAGGATTTTCCTCGCTCCTCTTTGAGAGACGGCGTACGCAAAGGTGCAAATCGGCGCCGCGGATATGTGAACGATTCTCGTATGCGGCTGGTATTGAGACCAGTCCACAAGTTGCGACACTTGGCTGTATGGAGGGACGGTCTCGTCGTCTTGGATGAAGTACTTGGCTGACATTTGTTCTATACTCTCCAACGGTAGTCCAGCGTTCTCTTCCAGGGTCTCTGGGAAAGGTTCACCACAATGACCTAGCCATAAGAGATCCCAGTCATCTCCATATGGGGAGTGAGGCAGCTCTGAGGGCTCGTGCAGAATCTGGCGGGCTCCGCGCGCAACGTTGCGGAGCTGAGACTTGAGATGGATGTCCCAATCCATATCATCCTCCATAATGAGGGCTGATCCAGTCTCCTGCTCGACAACTCTACAATACTCTTAGACAAGACAAAATCTATGGTGGTGGGTGTATTTCACAGTACTTACTGTCGAATTGCATTCATATGGCCCCTCCAGCTTCCAAGAAAGTTGTCTTGTATTGCAGAGGGATCGATTCCATACGGTACCGCTTTGCTCGGGATGCTGGATGGCTTTACGCCGTCAACCCATTCGATATCAAAACCACTCAGTGATGCCATGAGCTCCATCGCATCTCGTTTATCTGACCGCTCCGGCAACCCAATAGCAATGACTTTTTCAAATCCCAGCGTCTTATTAATCACCCGTTCAAGGTCCAATTGAATGGATTTCGGCGATTCGAGGTCTTCATTTTTGGTGCCAACTATCGATTGAGTATGTCTGCTCGCTTTCTCAACGGGGACGCTTTTAATGACGATCCTATTGGAGGCGAAGAAGAACTCGTCGACAGCAATGAGGGTAACAATGTAAGCAATGACAACCACTGGTGCCAGAGCCAGCAAACGAAGGCGAGGGCGAATGCCGGATAAGCATGCTGAAGCATTCATTCTGTACAGTATTTCTCTGTTGCGGGTGCTCGAATGTGGTGTTGGCTCATGTGGGAAGCCGGAATGCTGGAGAATGTCGCACTACCTCCAAGACTTGTTTGAGATGTTGTTCCAGACAGAAGATGGAATGGCGAGAGAGGGCTGATATGCACGGTAAGGCTTCTCTTGAGGGGAGAGCTGGGGAGACCCTTATTACGGAGGCTGGAGCTCCCTCCGTACCGGGACTCCGTTTGCGTGTTGGCGTGGGTTGATCCTTATCGAAGTGTCGCGACATTCTCAAGGGATGGGCAAGGCATCACCCTTTGCGGCCATGCTGGCGAGAAGAATTGAATCCACGGAGCACAGGTCATCCGTCACTTTACAACCGCGCTTCAGAGGACCGAGGCATGGCCTTTTTCGTAGCCGAAAGCATCTCCAGGTCGCGTACGGAGTACTCCGTGCTCTGTTTGCCCTTGGTCAGCGCGAACCGCTTAGCACGGATCCGGCTCAAGGACGCATTCGAGGGACAGGCAAAATACCAAGTCAGATGTAAAATACATGTCACAATCCTTAAACAGGTACTCAGTGCCGTATGGAGCGGATGATGTGGGGTGTCTGTTCCCTACACGGTAAGCACATCCATCTGCCAGATCTATCTTGATATTCCCTTATACGCATCTTCCTTTGCCATCTACTGTATCCGCTAGAGCAGTGTGCATCTACTAGTTCATCTCTGGTTCCCTTATGAAACCCTCTAGCTTTCTAGATAAGACGTGCTCTATTGTAAACCCACAGTATGTTGGCTCGCATCTGCTTGCAATCCTGGTCGTTGTGTCTATTGCTTGGCAATTTTAACTTGCAGAAGTCAATCCCCCACATGGCTTAGGCCATGTTTGGTGCACGACATGTGTGGTGTGGAGCAAGGTGAGATATCACAAGATACAATACTACCCTGGACTGGCGATAATACTGCTAAGTAATGTGCCTCATCACTTATCAGTCTGGGGGTGTAATATAAATATGAGCGAATTACTTATTCTAGTGCTTGTATTTGTATGGGTTACATGTGCCTTACTGTGGTCCCTTGAAATCTCGTAGGATCTGTCACGGCAAACACAATGGATACCAGGATCCAGTAGATAGACTTGGACGACTCTTCATTCATGCTAGTATACTAGTACATCACAAATTCCACATACACATACTAAACCAGGTACCAGGTATGTTGAATGAATTCTTTGTAGACCAAGCAGGAGCTGCCATTTACCTGCTTGACATTCACAGTGTGATTCTGATTCACTTTGATGGAAATTGAAGGTGCCGCCTCCATCCACCCGCTTTTGCAGCTGAACTGCGCTTACATAACAGCCGATCCCAAAGCCAGATTGGTGGGATAGCAGGGCGGATGTAATACTCCGCAGAATAGACGGACTGCTTAATACGCAGAGATATGCCGTAATAGCACCACACCCAGGCCCAGCATTTCCACTGCAAGTCGCATCGCTGAATCATTCGACGAGTTACATAAATGTCGGTGGTTAGGATTTGCCAAAACCCCAGCTTCTCAGCAGCTGACGTGCCCTTGCCCTTTGCGCCTCCCTCACTCTCTCACAGCGCACTCGCCAGGGGTCGCTTGATCCTCCACCGAACCGACATAGCGGCTGTCGCATCTTTATTTTCCTACGATTAACGGGCAGCGGTCGCGCACTGCACAGAGATTCGCACAAAAGTCACGGCCACAGAGAACCACATCAGCATCATCTGCCATCTACCATCTACCATCTACCGCACCCCCAGCAGGCCTCGCACACAGCGTCATAAGCAACGTTTAGGCGACTTCCCCAACTGCCCGAGTCTCGTTTCTGCGCCTCACCCCGCGCAACCACGCATGCTTACGGTCCTACCCCAAATCCCAACTGTCGACGAATCGACGGCAAAGTGAAGACTGAAAACTCAAGACTGGGACAAGTACTCGTCCGTCCACAAACAACCTCCTCTGTCCAATTCCCCGACGCCGACCATCAGCGACACTCAGGTATCTGGTCAGATGCTGCCGCCATGGAAGGCTTCTACCAGACAAACCGAGAGCTGGACAATCAGCTTTCACATCCATCTGAGGACCAGCAACCAGGACACCTCCAGCCCAATGTCTTAGCCATGCAGGATGCCTCGCTTACACCCCAGCTTCAGCAACAGCTTCAGCAGCAACCGCCAACACTACCCAACCACATGATTCCTAACCAGACTGTAATCCCGGGCAGTCAAATGGATGGCGTGATGCGCGAGGGACACAATGATATGCAAAGACGAAGAAGCATGCCCCAGGCCTACGGCACCGCCATTGCCTCCACCTCGCAGGTTCCTCCACCTCGACGCATGTCGACCATCGGCCCCCCCAGAGACATGATGACATTTGATACCGGAGCAGCTGGGTTCGGCAGCTACCAGTTTAGCCCGGAAATGGCACACCCCTTTGGCATGCAAGATCAGATGGGCAACTACGTGACAGATGCTGGGAGCTTCCCGGGCATCCCCCAGGATATCATGGGCACCATGATGCCGTCTCAATTTGCGAGCATGGATATGGGCGGGTTAACGGCCGAGACTTCTGCCATAGATCTATTCCCTGGCACAAGTGCCCCAACATCAGATCTTACTGCTTCGACAATCGCTAGCCAGCTGGATGCCAGTCAACTCGCGCCCGGTGGCGATGGCTTCGTCTTGGCGGGTAACCCTACCGGCGGATCGCTAGGGAGACGCTCAAACAGCGGTCACAAAGGCATGGCGATGGTTCATGACGAAAATATGATAAATGCCCCCCCTCCACCATTCGCATCCCTCAACGCTAGTCCTTCTCATCTTGGTATCGAATCCGACATGACGGGATTTGGAGCAGCCATGTCTTCTTCTCTCCCTGGGCCGGTAGCGATCGGTCCAGCGCAGCAAAGCAATGTCTCGATGGATATGGGTCAGCCAGGCTCCGCTAGCCCTGCAACTCCGTTGCAGGCTTCAAATTCCAGGGATCAGTCCAAAGAAAAGACTATTTACTCTAAGAGTGGTTTCGATATGTTGAAAGCCCTTTGGCTAGTCGCGACTCGGAAAAATCCTAAAATCCACCTCGGCGCCGTCGATATGTCCTGTGCCTTTGTCGTTTGTGATGTCACGATGAATGATTGCCCTATAATCTATGTATCTGATAATTTCCAGAATCTGACTGGGTACAGCCGCCATGAGATCATCGGACAAAACTGTCGTTTCCTTCAGGCGCCCGATGGGAAAGTCGAGGCCGGCTCAAAACGAGAATTTGTTGATGACGGAGCAGTGTTTAATCTCAAACGGATGATCCAGGAGGGCCGTGAGGTGCAGCAAAGCTTAATCAACTATCGAAAGGGAGGAAAGCCTTTCCTCAACCTCTTGACCATGATACCTATACCATGGGATACCGATGAGATCAGATACTTCATTGGCTTCCAAATTGACCTTGTTGAATGCCCCGACGCCATCTCTGGCCAAGAACTGGGCGGCGTCACAGTCAATTATAAACACAGCGATATTGGCCAATATATATGGACCCCGCCGGTGCCGAACCAGTTGGAGTCTGACAACGGACAGACGCTCGGTGTGGATGACGTCTCCACGCTCCTACAGCAGTACAATCCGAACGGGCTCGTATCGGATTGGCACAAGTCGTCCTGGGACAAGATGCTTCTCGAGAATACTGATGATGTGGTCCACGTCATATCACTCAAGGGCCTCTTCCTCTATCTATCACCTTCCTGCAAACGTGTCCTCGAGTACGATGCCGCCGACCTAGTTGGCAACCCCCTGTCTTCGGTTTGCCATCCTTCAGATATTGTACCAGTGACGCGGGAGCTGAAAGATGCAACGACTGGCAGCCAGGTCAATATTGTTTTCAGGATACGGCGGAAGCAGAGTGGGTATACTTGGTTCGAAAGTCATGGGTCATTGTTTGTCGACCAAGGCAGAGGGCGAAAATGCATCATCCTAGTCGGCAGAAAGCGGCCTGTGTTTGCCCTAGGCAGGCGCACTCTGGAAGCAAACGGTGGCATTGGGGATAGCGAGCTCTGGAGCAAATTGTCCACTTCTGGAATGTTTCTTTCGGTCTCGGCAAATATCAGGTCCCTTTTAGACTTACAGCCTGAGTCGCTGGTTGGAACAAGCATACAGGAGCTGATGCGGAAGGAATCACGAGCCGAGTTTGGGCGTACGGTTGAAAAGGCTAGGAAGGGGAAAATATCTACTTGCAAGCATGAAATGCTCAACCGGCGCGGGCAAGGACTTCAGGCTCAAACCACCCTATATCCAGGGGACGCCTCCGAGGGCCAAAAACCGTCCTTCGTCCTAGCTCAAACGAAGCTATTGAAAGCATCATCCCGCCACGCTCCATCAACTCTAACCGCAAGCAACGCGTTGTATGGCGCCAACTCTTTAAGGACTGACATGCACGGTCAGGGAACCGCGCATGGCGGCCAGATTCTTCAGCCAGCAGTTGGAGCGCTTGCCCCAGGGTCTCAAGACGCAGCTCTGGCGTCCGACGACAACATCTTCGATGAACTTAGAACAACGAAATGCTCAAGCTGGCAGTTTGAGCTGCGGCAGATGGAGAAGATCAATCGAATTTTAGCAGAGGAGCTGGGCGGCTTACTATCGAACAAGAAAAAACGCAAGAGAAGAAAGGGGGTTGGGAATGTAGTTCGTGATTGCGCTAATTGTCATACTCGCAACACTCCAGAATGGAGAAGGGGGCCAAGTGGGCAGCGAGACCTGTGTAACAGCTGTGGCTTACGGTGGGCTAAACAGGTGAGGAAGAATGGCCCTTTTCAACGTGGTAGAGTAATTTCATTGACATGCGCAACCAGACCGGGCGAGTCTCTCCCCGCAATTCTACGCGGGGCGGCCACAGCGGGAATACTGACACCCAGAGCAAGAAATCAGCGTCTCCAATTCATTCTTCGCCGCTAAACAGGAGTGAAACGCCAAACCAAGCGCAGAACAACAACGAAAACAACCCAGACCCAGCGCAGCTTGCGAATAAGATAGCCGCAGCTACCGCTGGCGTGGGCTCGGGGGCGGGACAACACCCGCCCTCCACCATGCCGCCTCCCAGTCAATCATCTCTAGCTACTGGTGCTATCAGCTCGGGAATGGCATCGATACGGGAAGAGCGCGAAAATAGCCAAACATGAGCAGCTTACTGGGTTCATCTCGCTGATCTGATTGCCGGATGTAAGAAGAGAGGATTTTCACGGAACCGAGCGTCATCTCCCCCCCTCCTCCACATGAGAGCCGGCTGGTTCTGGATCTCGCAACTATACAATCACTGGAAACGCTGCAAACGACTTTCTAGTCTTCTAACCCTCACCCGGCCATAGCATATGGATAGCGAGATTCTACAGAATGGTGGCTAGCCATGATAGCTCTGAAGCTACTTTCTAAGTTTTTTTTTTCTTTTCTTTTTTTTTTCTTTTTTGAACGGCAGACACCTTCTTCATTACTTCATCAAATCTTTGGGGGGGGGTCGGGGTGTCTTTTTTCCTTTTCCTTTTCCTTTTTTTTTTTTTTTTTTTTTTTTTAAATTTGGCGGCGGAGACAAACGATACCACCTGTACATATATACTGCCTGTATACTACATATTTTATTCATAGTGATTGTGCGTTGGCTTCAGACCCACGAGCTGAGCAAGTAGTAATGCTCGTGTCTCTCTTCAATATCCTCGACGTTACGGACCATATAGCTTACCTTAGACACACAACCTCCAACCACAATATACGATAATGTATATGAACGCATTGCAATGCTTGCCGGTGTATATTCACTTCAGAGCCTCTAGAAATTCATCCAATAAAATAACACGAAACTTGTCATGCCACTGAGAGGTCCACTCTCTATCAATCCACCTCTGGGAGAGATTGCCTCTCCAGGAGATAACTTCAACATTCCAGCCCATCTTTAGTGCTCGCTCGACATATGAGAAAAATCCATCAGAGTGCGGAGAAGGTTTAGCATCTCCAGTAGCCAGTACGATGGTACCAGGCGTGCGAAAGTATTCCATTACAGACTCGGCAATGCGGACCTGTAGAGTTTCGTCCACGAGGTCCTCGACATAACGAAGAGTGTCAGGAGCTCCAGTGAAGGTCAGTCCACCGTCAAGAACGCCCTTGCGCTCTCTTAGATCAACGTGATAACCTAGCTCGCGCATCTGCTGCACAAAACGAGGTTCTGAACGACCTGGGAGAGTAGAGCAGCAGACATTCAGCGCAACAACTGGCCGATCCCGAACGAGTATTTTGGTCAAGAATTGCAAGTTTAGATGAGGCACAGGTGATAGACGAGTGTTTGCGTTAATACGTTGGGATCCCTTCAACGTCTTTTGATACCCAATATCGATATTGGACATGTCGACGAAGACGTGAATGCCTTGCGAAGTGATTGTGGGGTGTTTTCCCGCCATGGAGGCATCTCGCATACGATACGGGACGAGATTCATCATAAGCGCCCTGTGTCTGTCGTCCTTTAAGCGTAGCTTTTCACGCACGTCGCTTGGAAGTTTGTTCATCAAAGAGCGGGAATGACGCATAGTATTGGCTGGAGGCGAGCATTCTGGGCATTCGGGAGAAGAAGACGTCAGGAAGTCGGATTGCCCAGCCCGCCGACGTCCCCGGCCCTGAGATGATGGATGTCGACATGCGGATGGCGACAGATCTGGCGGAGAGGATGTTGTTCCATAGGCGGAATCGATATGTTGTTCGCTTGATGGGAGAGCCTTTATATCACATGGAAGATCATGATGGACGATGCTCGTGTGCGATCGCTTTGCAGGGGGCAACAGCTCAGGGCCATAACTCGAGGGCGTCGATGACAAACTGGCGGGCTCCAGGACTATCTGCGCCGGCGAATAGTCATCGTCGTAGTCGCTTCTGGCCAGAAAGTCTGGGCCGGGATCATATCTATGCTGAGGAGGAGGAGAATCAAGGAACTCGGCGAAGAGCTTGCTGAAGTCGCCGAGCTTTATCGGGTTCGCAGAGGTATAAGAAGAAGAGGCAGCATCATCATTGCTTGACTGGTCAACAGTCTCAATTCGATCTATATAGTGAATATCTGGAGGATCAATCATGGACATGTAAGGCGAGAGGGGTGTATGAGCTTGAGAAATCGGGTGTCATTGAAGAAGAGCAATCCATGGGAGTTGCGCTGGAATGTATTATAAGGAGGAGGTAGGGATGCAGTATTAGGCATCAATCCTGGGAGCAGCGGAAATGACGATAGAGACCATACTGCAACCACTTGCACCAAGGAGCATTACATAAGCGGTTTCAGGCTAGATTTGATTCGCCAACAGCTTGGAAAAGATACATTAGCAAACAAAGGATTCCCTGGAGGTATTATTAGATGTTATACTACCTATGAATGCAGTACTTTCTAGTCACGGCGTAGATGTATTTTAAACAAAGCATGCAATAAATCAATAAATCAATAAATCAATCAACATGCACATACATTGATCAGCACTCCCGTGATGTATGTACATGCACTCGTATTTCTTGATACGGCACACACCCGAGCTTCCGTTGCACGGGTCATCGTTTTGGCATGGCCTGGCTGATCAGCTGCATGGGTCAGGCTCAGCTTGTGCACTCGTACGGGCAAGTCCGTAGTCTACTCGTACCTTGCCTGTAAACACTTTGACACCCCTAGTGCGGCGGGGTTCGATTCACCTGAGATGCTCTGCCTCTGCCGCGCGCCCGGCCATGGCGTCGCATTGGGAATTGCCGCAAATGCAGGCAAAAACACACGGTCATTGGCAGCGCGCTTTTAGACTGGACCGTTGAAAAAAAAAACAAGAAAGAAAAATTAAATCAAACCCTGTTTTATTGCTATAATCTTCCCCTAATACCTTACTCATTAGACTCTCTACCTAAGGTAACTGAAGAAGCCATTAGTCCCACTTTTCTAGTCGCCTATTACCTGGTATAAAGCCGTCCCTGTCTGTATCAACTGGCAGAAGCTGCGACCAAGCAAAAGGTAGAGCCCTTGTTTTTCCGATCTGCTCATTCCGCAATTACATCTGCCGAGGATACGTCCAAGGTTTTTTATTCCGCAGCTCGATCTCGATCTCAATCCCTCTCCTTGCCCTGAACATCACTCGTTCTGCGCACCAACTCGCCCACCATGCTGTCTCGAAGCATAGCCGTTGCCTCTCGCATGGCGCCCATGCGCCATTTGCGCCCTTCTGTGTTCCGCCAAGGGCTTCCCAGCCTTGTACGCTATTACGCAGACAAGGTTATTCAGGTGCCGCCCATGGCTGAGTCCATATCCGAAGGCACTCTCAAGCAATTCTCCAAATCGATTGGCGACTACGTCGAGCAAGACGAGGAGATTGCCACCATTGAAACTGACAAGGTACGTTTCTGGTTACTCCTCAGGCAAAAAAGAAGTAAGAGCGTTTACTCATTCCGTATTTCTATAGATCGATGTGGCTGTCAATGCGACAGAAGCCGGCATTATCAAAGAATTCTTCGTCAGCGAAGAAGACACCGTGACGGTTGGCCAGGACTTGGTTCGCCTTGAGACCGGTGGCGAGAAGCCAGCAGAATCAGAGAAGCCCAAGGAGGAATCGGCCCCCTCTCCTTCAGAGTCAAAACCAGCCGCCGAGCCAGAGCAGCCCAAGTCACAGCCTGAGCCCACCAAGAGCGAGAAGCCAGCTCCCCCGCCTCAACCCAAGGAGCAGCCCGAGAAGAAGAGCCAGCCCGAACCTGCTGCGGCGTCAAGGTCTGAGCCGGCAGCTGGAAACCGTGAGGAGCGTCGGGTAAGCTTCCCCCCCTTGAATCGTATTTTAGCCATACACTCTGGCCCGTCTAACTCGATGTAACTCAGGTCAAAATGAACCGTATGCGACTCCGTATCGCCGAGCGTCTCAAGCAGTCTCAGAATACCGCAGCATCACTGACGACATTCAACGAAGTCGACATGTCCAACATTATGGAGTTCCGAAAACTCTACAAGGATGAGATGCTTAAGAAGACTGGCGTCAAGCTGGGCTTCATGAGCGCCTTCTCCCGCGCTGCCGTACTGGCGATGCGAGACATCCCCGCCGTCAATGCGTCCATCGAAGGCCCCAATGGTGGCGACACCATTGTCTACCGCGACTACGTCGACATCAGCGTTGCCGTTGCTACGGAGAAGGGTCTGGTTACCCCTGTTGTGCGAAACGTTGAGTCATTGGACATGATCAGCATTGAAAAGGCTATTGCCGATATGGGCAAGAAGGTTGGTAGCAGTATCCTCACATCGTATTATACCTGGGTGTTATTACTAACTACTGTCCAGGCTCGCGATGGCAAGCTCACGATTGAGGATATGGCCGGTGGAACTTTCACCATCAGCAACGGCGGCGTGTTTGGATCTCTTATGGGCACCCCGATTATCAACCTCCCTCAAAGCGCTGTACTGGGTCTCCACGCCATCAAGGATCGCGCCGTGGTGGTTAATGGAAAGGTGGAAGTTCGGCCGATGATGTACTTGGCCCTGACGTATGACCACCGTCTTCTTGACGGAAGGGAAGCTGTTCAGTTCCTGGTCAAGATCAAAGAGTACATCGAGGATCCCAGAAAAATGCTACTATAGGAGCTTTCACAGGCACAGTTATACATCACATGTGGTTAGGTGACTTTACTTTTCCTCTGATATCTAAGGTTGATTGTCCTCGGTGTTATTTTGTTGCTATAGAATGTACAATTATATAGCTTGCTTTTTAAATAAAGTATAAGCTTAATACTGTTAATAACTTTTTTTTAAAGGAAATTAATTTTTATATAAGAAAAAAAACCTCTGTAGTTCAAGTATATACAAGAGTTATGTTATATATTGGTTGCTTTTTCTTACGGAAAATATATTAGAAAATTAATTTGTCATATATATTGATATTATCAAACATTATACTTTTTATCAATGTAATTCGACGTTTTTAATCTAGTGTACGGAGTATCTTTTCATTATAAGTGATCCAGTCTGGCATTTCCATGTGGAGCATCCAGTTGTACTAAAAATACCCAAATTTGGCCATTCGACTTTCCGGTCCCGTAGTTTAGGCAGAAGGGCGGTCCTATGACATAGGTAGTTGGCCAACCGCGGGCACATGCGTGCAGTGACAACATTACCTATCAAACGTCGCCTCCCATTTAACCAATCTCACCATTAGCTATGGAATCTAATATAAGCGTTGACCTTGGGCGATATCATCGGCGAATCGTGCAAATGTTCTGGGACCCCGAGCCATCCAACGACGTGAACAGCGACGAACCTGTTTGGTGTCTGGGCCGCTCTTACAAGCTAGACGACCCCAAGCGTGCGAGCTCCAGAACCGTAAATAAGGCGACCAAGTCTGTTGGCCACGACGCAGCAGAGGCCGGCGCATCAGAAGCCGTGCCCGTCTCATCTTCGACTCAAAGTCCTCCGTCCATATCAAAACCGTCTGCAGATGCGCCAGAAACACCACCGGCGGGCGAGGAGCTGCCGCTGGAAAACGGATGGCCTCCGGGGTTCTTGGAAGACATGGCCTCAAAGTTCTGGATGACGTACAGATCGGGGTTTGATCCTATAGCCAAGTCCGTTGACCCCAGGTCGACCTCTGCGCTTTCGTTTGCCGTAAGGATCAAGAGCACGCTCTCAGACCCCACGGGCTTCTCTTCCGACAGTGGCTGGGGCTGTATGATTCGTTCTGGCCAGAGCCTTCTTGCTACAACTATTGGTATTCTGCAGTTAGGAAGAGGTGTGTTTCTCCCCTCCCCTCTAGACTGGCATCATGTTTGAGAGGCCTAACCGGAACCCCTCAAGACTGGCGACGCGGCAAGAGTCAACAAGAGGAGCGACAGCTCATCAGCATGTTTGCCGACGACCCAAGGGCGCCGTATTCAATCCACAACTTCGTACGCCATGGAGCTACTGCCTGTGGGAAATTCCCCGGCGAGTGGTTTGGCCCATCTGCTACTGCTCAGTGCATTCAGTATGCCAACTTAGCTCGGAAAGCTTTCAATAGATTACATGGCTGACACGTGAGACACAGGGCCCTCACAAGCTCTTCAGGGCTTCTTCTGAAGGTATACTCGCCGAACGACGGACAAGACGTTCACGAAGATGGTTTCATGAAGATTGCGAAGCCTGAAGGGCTGGATTTCCACCCAACCTTGATCCTCATACGCACGCGTCTCGGTATTGACAAAATCACGCCGATATATTGGGAGCCTCTAATCGCTGCGCTCCAGATGCCGCAGTCAGTTGGCATTGCTGGGTAGGTTGCACTATTGATAAAGAAAACTGCTGCGGCTAATCCATTCCTTCAGTGGCCGCCCTTCCTCGTCTCATTACTTCGTTGGCAGTCAAGGTAGCTCCCTGTTTTATCTCGACCCCCATCACACCAGAAAAGCGATCCCCTACCACGCCGATGTGACCAAGTACACGGATGAAGATATCGACTCGTGCCATACCTCCAGACTCCGCCGACTCGATGTCAAAGAGATGGACCCGAGTATGCTGATAGGCTTCCTTATTCGTACCGAGAGTGACTGGTCCGATTGGAGACAACGTGTAGAAAACGTCCAGGGCAAATCCATCATCCACGTGACAGACCATGAGCCTACGCTATACAGCAGCGAAGGTAGGGATGGTGCGGTGGATGAAGTCGAGGTACTGAGTGATGACGACGATGACGATGTGACGACAACATGAGAGGTATCTTCGAGAGCCTTCCTAACAAGACGCTTCCATCGAAGACGGATTCATGTCTTTGAGACTTTCTACAGCAACCGGAATCTGCTGTCATGACGCTCTCTACCCCTAAACGTCGTGTGCTGGCATACCGGCCGGCAACGTGAAACAGAAGTTCTCCCTAATCTCGCGAATACGACCTTTTAGACAATCGAGTCTTTATACCTTTTTACCATTTCCGGCACCGCCAGGCTTGACAGTGGAGGCAGCATGGCCCAAATCACGGATATGTTTAAATAGCTTCGTTTTAGAGTCAAACTCAGCTGTGCAGATATTGCATCGATGCTGTGTCAAGTTGGTTAGCACGCCTTGGGATTTGCCAATGAATATGACATGATAAATACCTCGTTTTCGGTTGCCGCAGCAGCAGCGGCTTTTTTCTGGCGTTTGAGTTTTGCTTTTCCAATTTTGATTTTCGGCTTCGTATCATCAGCGGAGACTTTCTGCGGTGGTTTGGATGAATTGTCATGCACCCCCTCGTCGTGATTGTCATGAGCCGGTTGGTCACTGGTCGACTGGACATTCAGCCTGTGGAATGACTGATCAAGTTCTTCTTCTTCACCGTGGCTTTCGCCCTGGTCCGCTTCTGGTGTATTCTGATCTGGTGATGCTCCATTTCCAGTGGCTGCGTCATGCTGACTCTCATGCAAAGGCTCAGCATTCACTACATCGTCCTCATTCGCTTCATAGTCCTGTTCATTCACTCTTGCAGTTCGTAGCTCCTCATCTCCATTCAAAGATGCTTCGGGTGCATCGACCGATGTTGCGTCCAAATCCAAGTTTGCTGTTTCTCGTTTCATCTGTCGACGTAGATCTTGAACAGCCTTGATATGCTTCTTGCTGCGCTCATGGGATTCAAACTGCTTTTCGCTCTTGAATCTTTTGTTACACGCCACACATTCCATAATCTCCGTTTCAATCTCGGACTCTTCAGACTCGGAAGGTTGGTGGCGCTCATTTTCATCCTCTCTGGAGTGAACCCAGTCTGGCACGTCAAATGAGGAGTAGGTTTCCTTATTTGCTGCACGAGACCGAGCAGCTTGCGCAGCAGCAGCGGTCCGGAGAGACTTGTGACGATCTGCTTCACTTTGAGTGTTTGGAATATAGCGAGGATCCCGCTTCCTGACAAAGGAGACTAGGAACCGAACAGCATCGGTAAATTCTCGAATAGCATCGTCTCGTAGCTTTTTGTTTTCTTTCTCCATCCAACGCCTGGTCCTGCGATCTGGGGCGTCTGAGAGGCGATACTTGTCTTGCCACATGAATGATTTCTTGGTAGCGAACCCAGCCCAGATGGCATAGAAGGATTTCACAGTAGGATCGTAATCACTGTTGGATGAGCCAAACGTCGGATACTCAGGACACTCAACACCCTCGTAGTCAGCAGCAGCCTCCTCCTCTTGAGCGAGATGCTCGAATGTTTCTCTTGTGATCGAGTAAAAGCCGTTAACATCATCAGTATATGGAATGGTGGAATTGAATCGTGATATGAGACGCATAATATCGTCTGCAGTAGTAAGATGAACATTATGAAAAGTTGGAGGCGCAGATGCATCGTTGGAGTCATGTTGCCCACTCAGAATGCTCTCGCGGTGAGAGTCATACCAGGCTCTTTCCTGGGGGTCAGACAAAATGTCATATGCAGCCTGAACTTCTGCAAACTTTTCCGTGGCCGCTTCAACATTGTTGAAGTTGCGATCTGGATGCAACTCCAAAGCCTTTTTGCGATATGCCTTCTTAATTCTATATAAGTTTGATTAGTGTGTGAAAGTCGAGAGATGATCAGTCAGAATGGTTTACTCAATGTCAGTCGCAGTCCTTTCAACTTCCAAGAGTTCATAGTAGCATGTTCTTTGGCTGGTCCCAATGTCGGCTCGGCGTGATTCCGAATTTGAGGACTGTTCAGCCCCCATGATGATTCACAGTATCAGGATAGTGAATGGTACAGAAAATGTCGTGGTACGTGTGAATAAATGTATTATTTACTTCAATCTCAGTAGGAAGGATAGAAATTTCTTGGAGCGTCTAAGGCGGGCGGGAACCCATTTATTATATATCTACATATGGTGAAAGTATCAGGCAGTTGGCTTAGGAGGTAGGAATAATACTTCGGGATTGACTCATATGGTTGAAAAATTACATAATCGTAATATTTATCGATGAAAGAATTCAATTTTTACGGGAGATTAACGACCAAGCTAAGCAAATCTAAGCAGGCCAGCCATCCAGCATTTAATTTTCATAGTCCCCAATGATATCGGATAAAAATACAGTTGTGACAGCAGAAGGTACTTGAAGAATCAGGCAGGTTACCTGGTATCTTAAGTTGATAACAAGATTCAGGAGGTACCTGCTTGTACCTTTTTTTTTTTTTTTTTTTAATCTCGCCGTGAATGTGCCCTGCCTCGCAGAAATTCCAAAGACCTGGCTGAGGTTTTGTTTGGCTTAGTGGGGGTTTCACCTGCTAGCTCCCTACGTCACCTAAACCTCGCGTCTGAATAATTTAGAACTTTTTGTATCGACTGTTTACGCAGATAATTGATGATCAAGATGGTGCCACCAGCCGCCCCAGACGCATATCCGAGCAGCGCCAAACCTCCAAATTCGCGATCATGGACATCTCGACCGACCACACCGCTTCGCCCACCTTCTCAGTCGTCTTTCCGTGGATCTCTGCAACCTTCAGGCGATGGAGATGGCGCGTTTCCTCTCAAGAGATTAGAGCCAGCGTTTGCGGAGCTGTCTGATGCCATGGCCGATCTGGAGGCCAACATGATGCATTTTCAACTTATAGACGAGAGTTTGGCTAGGTTTGGCGAATCGTTCGCGAGTTTTCTTTACGGCCTAAATATGAACGCTTTTTGCGTTGACTTCCCAGAAGTACTACTGCTCCCGAATGTCTATCCCGTTCCATGTAACACACCTATCTAATTCACCTTTTCTCTCGTATCTAGACCCCCATACTCCAATCATTCCGTCGAGACCGTCAACCCAGCACTGAATTACGACCAGCACACGACGCAGAGGCAACTTATATGTAAGCATTGTTCTCAAGGGCCTAACACTCGAGCAAATTGCATCGGTCTGCTAACGGCGGTGGAAGGACGACGGATATATCCTTTGTGGAAAGCCCCCCACAATCGACAAGGCCTAATCCGAAGCAAAAGGCACCTGGACAACACCAGTCGCGTCTACCATCTGCACGGGGCAGCTCAACAAGAGGCAGACTAAATAGTCGCTCATCAAGCCGGCCTAGTGGTCTTGCGCGGCCGCGGGGACGGACTCTAAAGTAGAGGAGGTCTTTGATTAAATTTCGTGCTGTTTCATAGCGTCTTGTTCCGTATACCATGGCATCAATAGCCGTCTTAGTGGCAAAGGTTCGACGTCAAGTTATAGAACCATCTCAACGCCGCCCTCAGTTACAGGCTCCTGCTCCATGTCCATCTTATTCGTGTGTGATTGTCCAGATTTCGACTCGACTGTAGATTCTTCTCGCAGTTGTCTTAGCCTAGCCGACCCGTCAGTTACCTTAACAAGAGCCACTAGAAATCATCCACGTGCAAACAGACGGACCTTCGCTTGTGTGGCTTCCCTCGCTCGTGAGTAGTTAGGGTTGAGGCAGTGTCGAACCACCTGGAACATGTCACGCAGTAATTTTTCCCAAGTCCCGGCAGATCTTGTGTTAATTTAGTGTCTTTGTATTGCGCAAGGTGCTTCTGAGATCGAAGGTCAGATATAATCTGATCCACGTCGCTATTCAAAGTCAGCTTCAGAAAACCAGCATCATCGTAGAATCCCCATACCGCGTCTTGCGCCTCGTTTTTGTGAGCGTGCGCTTGTTTCCAACCCCCATTGTGATTGAGCTGTGTGCCAAACTGAAGTTCAAGTTGCGCCAGCAGCGACTAGAATTTTTTTTTTCCCAAAGCAGCGTCACTTATCGGTACATGCGATAAGGATGTAGCGTTCGGGATTTTTCACTGAACCCGTGTACACTTCGTATTTATTATAATAATAATTAAGACGGCGATCAAAGTTATATATCACCGATAATAGCAGCCATGGATTCTTATTTTTGTTAATTCATGTTATTTTTATTTATTCTGTCGTCTCATGGACAGAATGTTATAAATAAAATGAAACTAAACCGTAAACCGTAAATTACTAATAGCCAAAGCCTCAAGTGTCTTCGTTGCCTCTTAGCGCCATAATGTTTTGGTTGTAAAAACAAGTCATGGCGCCAAAATGGGATCCCATGTTTGACTTTGAGCTGCTAGGCAAAACGGGATGTTGTATCAACGTCAAGCCCAAGTTGTATTCGATCAGCAAGCTAATCTACTCCCCTTGGTCAAATTTATAGGATATCCCATGCATCCTCAGCCGCATGGCAGAACTTGCTGCACGCTACACTTGCTGACAGCGAGAAATTGCTGATAGAAATCTTCTCGTCGACTATTGAGTCGGCAAAAGTATCGGCTCCCTTCGCCATAGCTCCGACGAAAACGCAAATGCTCTCCTTGGGATTTAGAGACTCCATGTACTCACGTACGCGAACTACTGGAGCATCAAAACTAAGCGTTACTTTCCGACAATTTGATGGCAAGTGATCCGTAATCGGATTCTGAATCACACGTAAAAGCTTCTCGTTGGAAGTCGTGGAGCGAATTGAAAGCCGGTGCAAGAGCTGCACCATGAGGCCTGCAAATCGCTTAAACGTCCGGGGGATACGGACAGAGGGGGATACCTCAATGAGCACACCTTTAGCTGTATGGATGTAAATTTGAAGTCGGCCGGCTTTGTTGATTGGTGAATCCAAGAGAGTCAGTAGGCACTACCATCATTAGTATCATGCTTCCACGTCTATGGGTCCGAATACGCAACCTGATGCGCGATGTCTGGTCGTGCATCGCTTATGTCGCGGTTCATCTTCCGCATAACACCTATATGCTCATCGCTGTTGAGAAGCGAATACTTCTCCTCTCGATGGAGGCCGGCGCGGTTCACGCCTCCCTGAACTGCCTTGTATGTCTCCAAGCTGGCATTCGAGAGTACGACAATCAGTCGCTGGGAATCTTTGTCAGTGAGCGGGATGGGAGTCTTCTGCTCAGCGACCAGTTGGGGTAGAGATGGTGGTGGCAGAGACTGCGTTCCTGCAGAAGAAGAAAATTCCATGATTAGCCACTCGCTCACGAAGGTGACAAGCAGTGGAAGGAATGATAATTACTAGGCCGTTTCATGCCAGCGCGAGGATCGGGGGACGACATTGCCAGGATATATGAAGGCCAGAAACAGTCTAAAAAAAGAAGGAAAAAAGAGGGGAAAAAGAAGGCTGGGATAATTGGCACTTAGAACGAACTGCGATGGAAAATTGTGAGCAAGTTGACTAGAAAAGACTTGGTGATACTAGTAGATTTGTGCCAAAGTCGTCCAAGTACAATCAGTTGGGGAGTTATCAGATAAGCAATACCGAGTACCTAATAGTGAGATTAAAAGGGTTAAATAAATAAGGCTCTATAATAACGTATTAAAAGTTATCGGGATTGATCCACTAGTACCTGGTAGTACTAATTTATCAACTTAGACGAAATATTGACTTTCAGTTTATTCTTACTAATCTTACTGAAAACCAATTATGCGTACATTGCTATTAAAAGTTTACTAAGACCGATTGAATCAAGGATTATTCCTAGGTAGCTGTTGAAATGCCTGCTTGACAATTCACGCTCTCGGTGTCTAAATGATTGGTCTCGTTTGTATAAAATACCAGTGCTTCCGTCATCAGGTATACCAATTTTTAATTTCCTCTTTATTAAGACACTTTCAGTCCTCCTCTCATATTATTTACTCTACCCGTACTATATATCTTGGCAAATTTCTGCTTAGTGTTTCCAACTTCCCAAGCGCGCCATCAGTACCTTAGGAATAGCTGTATTGTTTTTATATTTGCTCGCTAGTTTTTAACTGGCGCGAATCTGCAATGAACCTTGACTCTTGAGCGACCAGAACACTCCTAGCTGAAATATCCCATGATAGTTCGCTGTGACTCTGGAGAGAATTGCTGAAGCAGTGGCATTGGGTCTACATTTGCAGCAGTTAGAAGAATTTTTGTCGCGGCTGCTACACGGCTAGCCGTTTGCCCCTGAAGTGTTTCGGCTTCCAGAGCCTGTGCAATGAATACAAAAACCTTGCCAGCCTGGTTCATTACGGATGGGTATTGACTGCGAATTTGAATTAGCCACACGCTCTTGTTTCCACCATTCTCAAGCCATTGGGTAAATACTATGCGACTCACCGATCAATCAGCTCTGCTAGATATGCATAAGCATATGGTGCCGCTTCTTCATCGTTAGTTACTGGTAATGTGTCGATCCACCGCGTGATTATTGTGTTGACATCATCAACGTTGCCGGAGTTGTAATGGAGAATCTTGGCAATGGCAGCTGAGGCATTTTCTGTGGCATAAACATTGTCTTCGTTCCGAGCGTCGGGAACTTGGGTTACTTGGAACAGGAACGGCACCGATCCGCCCAGGAAGGGGGACCACGCAGCACCACCTCTATGCGCTGCAACTCCAATACCGTACGCAGCTGCTTGACGGATCGCTGCAGAGGCATCCTGGCAGCCATCAATAAGGGGCTGCTGAATATACGTCGCATACCGAATACTTTGCGGGCCACAGTACTCCAAAACATCGTCCATGATGCAGAGACCCCATTGTCGCTGCGTTGGATCAGGTGACGACAGGAATCCTTCGTAAGTAGACATGAGGCGCTCCCAGGCGGGCAGAAATGAAACGCCGTGGTTCTTGAAGATAGAGTGAAACGCCTTGTTCATATCAGAGAGAAGCGTTTGGTCATCTTCGATCGCTATTAGGGTCTCCTCTGCTTCGTCCTCCACGTCATCAGCAGTGGCTCCCTCCTTAGCATCAGCACGCTCTGCCACCCGGTCTTTATAGTCCTCTAGTGCAGAGAGCGAGGAGTCGATAAATCGGTTCATGTGGTCTGTCGTAAGGCACTCTTTGCCTAAGACTTGCACAGACTCGTAGAAACACTGATACATTTCCGCAAGCGTATCAATTCCTGGTTCAGCCGTGAGTACCTCCAATAGCTTATCCACGGTCGCATTCCACAGGCCAGTCAGCTCGTTTGAAGGGCAACCGTAGGCCTTTTTATATGAGCTGAGCAGTTGCGGAACGAGCTTGGCCGAGATATAACGGACAGGGTCGTGAAAGAAGAACGAAAGGCCGGGCAGGGCGATCTTCTCCATGATATTTGCAACAAATGGTGCAAAGGCACCTTCGAGTACCTGGGCATAGACAACCAAAAGCTCAATAGCCATGTTCTTATCGTCCATGGTACTAGTGCGAATGCCAATCATTTTCCCCTTGAGTGGTACAAACTCCCAGCCCTCTTCGCCTTGCATTTGCTCTGCTTGCTCATCATCGTCCAACAGCTGGATATCCGGCTTAGCCATGGCAAGCTCAAGAAGTGGTGGCATAACATTCTCAAGGAAAGGAATGAAATCAGTACCAAGAACACGGCACATACGACCCCAGCAATGCATAAGATATTGAGCCTGAGGATCATCTGCGTCCGTGATATTTGTCTGGATGTGAGCTAGGAGATTCACAAGAGTCATGGCATCCTGGCCTAGCCGCTCTTTTCCAACAGCAAGGGCAATAAGAGTTGCACATTCCATTGCCTTGGCCCGTAGTAGCCTATACTCCTTCTCACTCTGAGTCTGAAGAACATTGACGAGAAGAGGCATCAGGGTATCGTAGTATTTTGCAAATGCCGCTTCGGCCGCGTCGGCTATAGTTGCGATTGTGGATAATGCCTGCTCCTGAACAAATCGTTTGTCGCTTTGGAGCAATTGAAACAAGTGCGATAAGAGCTCATCCAGGTAGGGTTCCAGTATACTCTTTTCCGCTTCCTCACAAAAGTTTACCAGGGCTGCAGCTGCATGAGATTTTACACGAGCCTCTGGCGAGTTAAGAACAGGAATAATGGCTTTTAAAATCCGGTCATAGAAATCGGTTTGCATTTTAGGCGCAAAATCAGTACTCATTTGCCCTAAAGCGTTGCAGCCAGCCCATCGCACACGAGGATGTGGATCTTGGAGAGCTGGGATTACCAAGTCAAGAACTTGGCTAAGCTCTCCGATCATGAGATCCCGGCAGCCCTCCGAAATGGCAGAAATCGCCATGAGTGCAGCATGTCGATCTCTCCAAGCCATGGACGTCATCATTCGCGGAAGCCAGTTGAAGGTGGGAGCAAGGATTGTCTGGCCCCCCAGCTTATTAGCGAGGCGATCCATAGTTTGCTCTCCAGCAACATGGTTCTGATCGCTCTCGTCTGCCTCAAGCTATGAAATACAGTTAGTAAATTACCTCTATGGTTGAATCGTCTCTATAGATTACTCACATCATCAGACGTCAGCCATTCAGTAGCATCGTCATCATCTTCGCCAAGATCAGTCATCAAACTCAGACACTGAGTGATCATATCGGTTGTGTAAGACGCATCCTTTCGGCACATCGATGGAGCATAATCAGCGAAGGTAGCCATTAATTCCAATGCGTTTTGTCGGCAAATAGTATCCAGTTCTTTATCTTGGACTACCGAGATGCTGAACTGGACCAAGTTGTGAAAGAGAGGTTTGAACATTTTCGGTGCCGTCTCCGCCAGGTCAATAAGGGCCACGAGAGCTTTGCTCAAGTCATCCGAGTCTTGGCTGTCTTTGATAGGAGGGAGGATATTGAGCACATCGGGAATGAGAGCATAGTACTTGGATTGGCCTTTCTTGCTAATCGTCCTGAAGAAGGATGCAAAAGCGTCCATAGCGGCCAATCGGACCTAAGTAAAACAGTGGTCAGAAGCCGCCTGCCTCATATGAACGAATCACTGTACCTGGACTGCGTCATCTTTGAATCCTCTTTGGAAGGCCTGCAGAACGGCTTCCTCGTGTTGCTTTTCGATGATTCCAGGAGTCGTAGCAAAAACTCTGTATGCGGTCTCGCGCTTTTCAGCTTCTATTGCCTGGCTTAACTGAAAGAGCGCTCCCAGAAGTTCTGGCCAAGAATCATCTAAGAAGAATATGAGTTAGTACCAAGTGAGAAGCGTGCCAAGGATCGGATGAGATGCAGTGCTGGCTGTGGAGGCTGACTATTGTCTGTATATTGCCGCGCGACCTCAGCGACGGCGTCGCTAATTTTGTTTCGAACTGCTCGATCGGTCTCAGAGCCTAGGGTCTCGAGTAGTTTCTGGCGAATGACGATGGCTTGATCCTTGACTAGCGAATAAAACATATCGACATTATTCCCAGTGTCGGTTTTCCGAGTTTTTGAAGAAATCCGTCTGAATATGACGGCAGCGAACGATCGAATCTAGATAAATCCGTTAGGGAGCAGCCCAGAAACCAGCCATTCTGAAGTCATAAACTCGTGGGAGTGAGGCATACCGCATTATCTCCACCAGCTTGTATCTGCTCTGCAAGTCCCATTAAAAGGACTTCTGGACGCGAGTTTGTCCAACTGTTTTGGAGATGCTCCTCAGCTTGAGATCGGATGCCATTGTCGGAGGCCTGAAGTGCTTGCAAAAGCTGCGTGAGCTCTGCGTGTATGTCTGGGGATAGAAGAGACATGATTGCGACGGCTAACGGACGAAAACGCCGCGCAGCTATGCCTGCGAAGTTGTTTGAATAATCAGGTCAAGAAGTAAAGACTCTTTATCGCGGCTCAGTTAGCGGCTGGACAAAAAAGAAAAGTAGGCAATACAGAAATCGAAGTTCTGTGGTGGGCGTAACAGAGCAAGGTGGGGGAGGGGAAGGGTGTGTGGTATGTCTTGGGCGTGTGCTGAAAAAATTAAACTGCGATAGTGCCTATCTAATCAGTTAGAAAGGTATGCCGAGTATCTGGGAGGTACTTCAAGCCGATAAGTACAAGCTCACATAAAGATTCTCGAGAAAAATCAATCAACAGCCTTGAAACGCGTTATAAATTCATGATTTCTAATAGCTTCAGCGTTACCTCTCATTAGGCCAAACATTTCCTTGGCATGTATCTCGTGGCATAGATTCCAAGGTGCTTTGAGTCGTGTGAAGATACCCGAAATTGAGCAACCTACCTAAAAGGTACCTACCTAAGATCGTAAAAAAAACAATGGAGCAATGGAGCTACTGATCGAACCGAGGAAGCCTCTTACAGTATTGCGACGTGCTGAGTACCACCACAGGTACTGCTAAGGTTGGCCGTAGTGAGGTGAGAGGAGCACGGACTGGTACATACATCCTCTCGGGATCATCACCTGCAAAGTTGCTTCACTTATGCATACGCCATACGCTCTTCAATCAATTTTCACCCACTTGCTATTCTTCCCGTGCAATCTTGTTAATATGTAACGGATAGGGACGCAACAACAGCAGGATTCAATATGTCTTTCAATACCGATTCAGATACTCCCTCCAAGTTACCTGAGGCAAAGGCCTCGCCGTCGCCACGCGGGTCGCCTTCGAGCTCGAGCACCAGCACCAGCAAGGCTTCCCATCGACAAAGTTTTACTGAAGGATTCCGCAACCCTCCACCTTCGCCCCGCCATCGACACCCCTCTCTGACCCAAGCTGCAATTCAAGACCTTCTCATTCACCAACCTTCCACGAACAAACACCAAGACCCCAAGTTTGTTGGGCGGGAATGGAAAGACATCACCCTAGGAGAGCTGATTTCAGCTGAGGGTGTAAGCTGGATTGAAATCGGAGGTAGCGTGGAGGAAGCCACATTGGTAAATGCGACCCATTGAATTCGCACAGTTGTTCTGTCCATACTTACGCCATTACCAGATGCTCCTCCAGAGCTCAACCGGCGTGGTTCTCGTCAGAGACGAAGCTTCTGCTACATCACCGACATTCTGCTTTGATTATAATGACCTGAATGCCTACCTCCTCACCGTTGTGGGTGTTTCTCGGCCTGAGAGCGATCAAGCCACACTATTTCACGACATCATGACCAAGGCTCAAGGAGGTGCTCGTATATCACTTCGCGAGATCCAGACCTTGTGCTCCAGGGAAGCCATCGTCAAATTGAACTCAGATGTGAATCTAGCTCAAGGTATAGAAACGCTTGGGAGCGGAATACACAGAATCTTAGTTACTGAGCCAGGTGGGAATGTTATTGGGATTATAAGCCAACTTCGGATGGTGGAGTTCTTCTGGAACGAAGGGATCAATTTTCCCACCATCGACCGACTCAATCCAGTCACGCTACAGGAGTTAGGAATTGGAGTGCGGCCGATAATTTCAGTTCAGTGAGTACAGTCAATGCTGGTAGTATTGCATTCCGCACTCAGGAATTCAAACTAACAAGCCCTTAGTGCCGACGCTCCTCTTACGGAGGCCTTATCACTCATGTACGATGAGGGCCTCTCAAGCGTAGCTATTGTAGACAACGGACAAAATGTGGTGGGCAACATTTCAACAAAGGATGTGCGGCATTTGACAAGCTCCTCGAGTGCATATTTGCTTGGTAATTCTTGTATGCACTTCATTTCCGTCATTCTAAACGAAAGGGGGGTGGAAAGGGGACAGGATGTCTATCCCGTTTTCTACGTAAACCCTCACTCAACATTGGCACATACCGTAGCCAAGCTGGTGGCCACAAAATCGCACCGAATGTGGATTGTGGATGCAGGACCACAATCGTCACCTCTGTCGACACCTACGACACCAATGACCACATCACAGACTTCTATATCAGCAGGGACGGTTCCAGCAACGATATCATCTGCTGTGCCTGCAGTCACAGTTCCGGCAGCTACGTTGACTGGGGCTCTTTTGTCAGGCAAACTAATCGGGGTTGTCTCGCTAACAGATATTCTCAACATATTTGCCAAATCTACGGGATTGAATCCCTCTGAGCCATGGGAACAGAGAGTACGCCGCCGACGCAGCTCGAGTAGCTCCGTACGGCCCAGCGTAGAGTCTTTGCGGTCCAGCGTGGAAACAAGGAGGTAAAGTATAGTGACATTCAAGTTCAATTCGTGGAAATTATTGAGGATATTCTTGACCCAGGCGTTACACAAATGTTCATACTCCTTGATAATGCTAAATACGATGTAATTCATGAAGAGTGAACCATGAACTTTGAGAGTAATTAATATATGATAGTAGTAAGTATATTGGTTTGAGTTCACCATCCTTTCGGTATCAGGAGAGGAGCACGCGGATGTCAGCCGATGTCCTTGAGAACCTTAAGCCCACGTCCTTATCACCACTCTGGCTTTCAATGGCCTCTTCCAATCTCTCGAAATCAGTACAGAATTTTTCAGCTGCCTGTTCTACAATATCACGAGCGATTTCTGAATCTTGTAGTCCCTTCAGCCTGTCCATTGCGTCCATCAATGCGGAAGGAAGAAAGTCGTCGAGCTCCTGGCTTGCTTGAATAACGGAAGCTTGATCTATCTCAGCAAGTTTGCCGTTATCTAAGTGGTTCAGCAGGGTATCCAATCCCGATTTCTGGCGAAAAGTAATATGTTGGTTATCAACCAAGTTCAGGACGTCCCTTGAAATATCGTCTCGAATCTGACTCGCTCGGGAAATTGTACTTTCAAAGCTGTCAAGACAAAACGCCGCCGCAAGTTTGCAATTGACAAGGAATATTCCACCCTCAGGATACGTCATAGGCTTTGCTATCTCTTCGCACCCAGACATAAATGGATCAAAAGCCTGTGACAATATACTCTGTGCCTCGCTGCCGGAATCTGCAGATGCAGATAAGGATGATTCGTAAGTCTGCAGAATGGTACCAAGCTGCTTAAAGGCATCCTGAAGAAATCGTGGTGGTTCCAGGTCCGAAGGGACTTGTTGGAATTCTCCTTGGATGGAGAGAATATTATCTCTGACGAGGGATCGGAACTGTCTCTTGGCTTCTTTCTCAAGACCTCCTGTACAATCTTCTAAGCCCGATCCTGACCCCAGAAGCTTTTCGAAGGTAGCTCTGTAGAAATTGAGAAGCGTAGAGATCTTGTAGGCAGGAATGACATCCTCGTTGGATTGTACTGCCTGCTCGACCCGTTGGCGTAGTATTCGAACAACAGGCGAGAAATTACGATCCATTAGGTGACTGAGAGCTTCAAGAACCTTGAAATCGGTACCTTGCGAAGCCTCAATTGAGGGTAGAGCCCAGAGTTTTGCATTTAGACTTGTCGTGGACGTTTTGAATACATCATCCTTGTCGACAGCAAAAAGAGTCTCAAGGGCTTCTCTCTCGCCCACCGTGGCAGAGTGAACCCAAGCAAACATATCGCCGACATAGCGGAGAGGATCATGTGCTGTTAGATCAATAGGCCTGATAGTTGCATCTTCGGTCCCTTGTGGTGTAATGCCTGTAAGGGCGCAGTGAAAAGCTTCTGATAAAAATCGTTCTCTGGATGCTGCAAAGAAGTCCAGGCAATTCTGGAACAGAGAAGGCCTTTCTGCCAGGACTCTTAACGCTTGTCGCATGCAAGGATTCACATTGGGATTTTCTAAATTCAGTGTCCTGAATTCTTGTTGAACCCATTTGTAAAGCTTTTGAAAAGCCATATTTACATGCACAGACGTCCGGTCGATCAACTCCAAGCCGAGGGTTTGGTTTTCAAATCCAAGTAGTATGTCACAACCAAGAGTAATATTCTTCGCCTTTTGTAGATTGGTGAAAAATGCAGCGTCAACTGGTTTGATAGTTGAAGTAAGAGAGTCAATCTCGTCGTCTGTCATGACGAAATAACTTTCAACGGCACTAAGAGTCTCTTGCTTCCTCTCAATTTCCATGCGCTGCTCGAAAAGGGACGACATTCCTTGCAGTGCCGGGGCGGTTCGATCATGAGCCAAATCGATTTGACATTTTATATCCTCGATCCCAGAGTTCAATTTATCCACTACTCCTCGAACGAGTTTCAATCGCTATTTATGTTACTACCAGGGTATCCTGTTAGGGATGGCTAGGGTCTAACGTACCTCTGCAACAACGCCCATTTCTTTAACAATTTCGCCATTGCAGTTAATTGCTTCTCCTAGAAGATCCAGACGAAGTAGGCGCCTAGTTTTACCACTGCTTCCCACGAATCGTTGATCGGCCAAGAGAATGGCATCGCGAAAGTCGTTATCAGAATAAGAAGTGGAAAGTACAGATGCGGCCTTTAGCACCATAAGATCAGCTCCTTTCCCACTAGACGTACTTGACAAGGCCCACGATAGGCCATGATGCAGATTGGCACTATTTGGTGAAGCCATTGAAGCAGTCGAAAAGCAGGATGCGACTACATGATTGATGTATGAACTATGGATAGTTTATATAATTTCGAAACAATTTTAATTATTTAATAGAGAAAATGATATAAATAAAAGGTTAAAGATAATATTTATAAATATATATTTTTAAAGCTATTAAATAATATTATTTTAATAATATATAAAAATAATATTTAATATTAAATATTATTTTTATTATATTTATAATAAAATATAATAAAGAAAATATAATATAATATTAAATTTTTAATTATAAAGAAAATATATTATTAATAATAAATAAAATTTAAAAAAAGTTATTAATTTAAACAAAAGTTAAGGAAGTTAATTTACATTAACTTTAGAACTTAAATTTATACTAATGTTGAAAAAAAAGTCTTATAAAGAGAAATGCATGCGCTTATAAGTAAAGTGAGCGGCCGTTCTGTCACATTAAGAAAAGCAACAGCTTGGGAAGCCCCCCTGGCCTAATGGCTAAGGCGCAAGACTTCTACTGAATGGAATCTTGAGATTGCGGGTTCGAGTCCCGCGGGGGGTTTTTTTTTGCGTTTTATTTAAATTTAATATATTAAAATTCATAGTTTTACTTTTTATTTTATTTAGTTAATACTTATAAGTTTATTAAGGTATTTATATATAAAAAATATTTTATAAAAAATATTTTTAATTATTTTAAATTTTAATTAATTATAGGAATTTTATATTTAATATTTATTTTTTTATAATAAATAATTTAAAAAAGTAAATTATGTAATTAATAATTAAAAATTCAAAAAGTACTTAATATTAAATTTTATTACTAATTTATATTTAAAAACTTTTTATATATTTTATTATTATTTTCCTATAATAATAATATTATTAAAAATTAAAGTATAGTTTTTATTTAATTTAATTATTATAATTTTATTAAATTTTTTAATAATAAATATAATTTTTATAATAAAATTATATATTATTTATAATTTTATTATAATAAAAATATTAATAAAAATAATATTAAATTAAATTTATTTTATAACTTAAATTTTAATAATATTATAAATAATTATAAAATTATTATATAAAAATTATATTTATTATTATAATATTTAGTAAATTTATAAAAATTAAGTTAAAAAAAACATAGTTTAGTTTTTAATTTAAAATTTAAAATTAATTTATTATTTAACTTAATTAATTATAATTAATAAAGTTAAAATTTAAAAATTTAAGTTATAAATATAATTTTTCTCTCTTAAATATAAAAAATAAATTACCTAAGAGCTAAAATTAAAATAATAATTATTAAACCTTTATTTAGTAACTATTAGCTAATAGCTTAGCTAATTTATATTTTTTTTATAATTTATTTAAGTTACCTTTTTTTACTTTATTTATTCTTTAGGCTTTAGTAAACTTTCTTTATAATATTAATAATATTAAAATTATAAGTTTTTATAATAGTAATTATTATTTTAGTAATAATTACTATTAGTTTTTTATTACCTTTAGTTATTATAGTTATTTATATATTAAATTTTAGTAAATTATTAACTTATTTTTAGTTATTATAAAGGTTTATTACTTTTATATAAAGTATATTATTTTATTAAATAGTTTTTTATATTATATATATAATTTATTTTTAAGTAAAATTATTATTACTTTTTATAACTTAATAAAATAATTTTATTTAATTTAGTTAAGTTATTAAATTATAAATTATAAACTTAAAGCTTATATTATATTTAAATTTTATTATTTAGGCTTTTATATATATATATATATATATTTAAGTTTAGTCTTAAACCTTAATTAGTTATACTTTATAACCTAAATGTTTAAAATTTAACTTAGTTAACTATAGTTAATAAAGTTAAGTTATAAATTAATTTTAAATTTTAAACTAAAGGCTAAAATATAGTTTTCCTTTAATTTAATTATTATAACTTTACTAAACTTTTTAATAATAAATATAACCTTTATAAATGTAATTCTTAATTAATATTTAAAATTAAATTTAAAATATAAAAAAAGCTTAAATAATAAAATTTAAATATAATATAAATTTTAAGTTTATTAAAAGTTAAATTAGTTAAAAAAAGTAAGAAAATATAAAAGTAAATTTATAAAACTTTATATTAAATATATATAAAAGTAATTATAATTATTTTTAATTTTTTATAATTTTATAAAATTCTAAGTTATTATATAATACTATAGTTATATTAAGGGCTATATAGCCCTTAGTTTATACTTTATATATAATTAATATATATTTATAATATAAATATTAAGACTTAAATATATAATTAATATAAGTATATAATATAAATATTAAGTTTATTAATTAACTTTTAATATATTACTTTTTTTTCTAAAGTATTATTTTAATAATTTTAATAATAATTTTTTTAAATTATATATTAAAAATTTTATTTTAATAATATTTACTTTAATAAAATTCTAAAAGTTATATTTATTATTAAAAAATTTAGTAAAGCTATAATAACTAAGTTTAAGAAAGGCTATGCCTTAGCCTTTAGTTAATAAAATTATAATATAATTTAAGTTTTAAACTTATTTTATTTTTATTATAAATATATTATTATTTTAAGCTTTTTTTTATTTAAGGAAATATTAAGTTTAGTTTTATAATTAAATATAATTAAAAACTTTTAATATTTTTTTTATTATTAAAATCACTTATAGTTTTTATAATAAAGTTATAATAAATAAAGTAATAAAAAAGAATATAAATTTATAAAAATAATTAACTTAAAGCTTAAATTTAAAAATAATAATTTTTATTTTTATTATTTATTACTTTATTATTTTTTTTATATTATAATTATTTATATATTTAAAATTTAAATAAAAATAAATATTTTTTAAAATAATTAAATAAGTTTTTTTAAATTTATAATAATAATATATTTAATTTATAAATAATATTTTTTATTAATAATACTTTAATTATATATATAAGTAAATTATTAATAATTCTTTACTTATTTATATAATTATTATTAATAAGTATTTTACTTTTTTTATATTAATTTTTTTATTAATATATTTTTTAATTCTCTTAAGTAAAAAATATAAATTACTTAAAAACTAAAATTAAAATAATTATTATTAAACTTTTATTTAGTAATTATTAGCTAGTAATAGCTTAAGTAATTTATATTTTCTTTTTTATAATTAATTTAAATTACTTTTTATTTTTTATTTTTTAAGCTTTAATAAACTTTTTTTATAATATTAATAATATTAAAATTATAAGTTTTTATAATAATAATTATTATTTTAGTAATAATTATTATTAATTCCTTATTACTTTTAATTATTATAATTATTTATAATAAACTTTAGTTAATTATTAATTTATTTTTAATTATTATAAAAGTTTATTACTTTTATAATATATTATTTTATTAAAAGTTAATTATATTATACTTAAATTTTAGTATTTAGGCTTTTTTATATATATATATAAGTTTAGTCTTAAACTTTAATATAATAATAATTATACTTTATAACTTAAATTTTTAAAGTTTAACTTAGTTAATTATAATTAATTAAGTTAAGTTATAAATTAATTTTAGATTTTAAACTAAAGGCTAAAGTATAATTTTTCTTTAACTTAATTATTATAATTTTACTAAACTTTTTAATAATAAATATAACTTTTATAATTAACTTTATTTTTTTTATAATATTATTTTAATATTTTATAATTAAGCTATTTATTTAATTTCCTTTATTAAATATACTTTTATTTTATTTTACTTTTTAATTATATATTTATAAAATTATTATAATATTTTAATTTATATAAAATAAATATATTATATTAAAAAAAAACTTAAAGTAAATTAATTTTATTAATAATTTATTTAGCCTTAAGGCTATTTTTTTATAAATATTTTTACCCTTAAGTTAATTATATATTTATAAATTTTTAAAGTTTTTTATAATATTACTTAATTATATCTTTATATTTTAAATATATTATTATTAAATTAATATTCCTTTATAAAAAATTATAATTATAATTATAATTATATTATTAAAATAATTATATTTTTTATATTTAGCCCTTTAGGAAAAATTATAATTTTTTAAATAAAAGTATATATTATAAATATTATTATATTTTTATTAATTTATTATAATTATGAAATACTTTATTATAAATATATTTATAATTTTATTATATATATTAATAAACTTAATAAAAAAGTAAATATTTATTATTTTTAATTACTTATATAAATTTTTTAAGTATATTTTTATTATTTTTTTATTTTTTATAATTAATAAATTTACTAAATAAGTTTATTAAATATTATTAATATAAACTTAATTATAAATTATATTTTACTTTTATTAGTTTTTTAATATTTTTTATATAATAATTATAATTAATTTTTATAAATTTCTATATAATATAAATTTTTTATATTATTTTAAGTATATTATTAATTATGGAGGTTATATTTATTATTAAGAGGTTTAGTAAAGCTATAACAGCTAGGTCAAAGGAAGGCTATGCCCTA